AGTACTGGGTTATCACAAGAGATCGCTATCCTATTCTAGGCCAGCTAGCCCTTGATATCTACTCCATCCCAGCCTCCTCAGCTGATTGTGAGAGAATTTTCAGCGAACTTGGCGATCTCCTGGGCGTACGACGCCTTAATATGAAGCCTGAGTTACTTAGTGCTCTGCAATCTATACGCTCCTGGCGTCGAATTGGCATCAAACCTCCTAAGTAGTAATCAACTTATCAATCAATCTATCAATCAAACCAATCAATTCAACTTGGGGGTCAAAAAGTATCAATCTCATCAACTCAACTTGAGCATCTCAGAAATTAATCAAATCAAATCAAATCAATCACAGCCTGTTCAACGAAGCAATCAATCAACTTGGAGACGTCAAAGTTGATTGATTGATTGATCCCCACTCTGGTACACAGGTTGGAAGTCTAGTCAGCAGGCCCAGATTTCTTGTTGGAAACTGGACCAAAATATCTGATGAAGCGCTAAAAAAGGCGGAATGCTGTCGCTAACCAAAGATAGATCGTGTGCGGCTTGAGCAAGGGCATCATTCCGCCGACCGACATCACTGGACCGCTCGACGGTACAATAGCCGACCTTCGAGTCATGCGAGATGAATTAGTAGATGAGTTTGCCCGCGAAGAGACGGGCCCTGAAGCTCCGGAATCTAAGAGCGGACGTTCTGTTCTCTGGCGCCTCGAGGCAAACAACAGGGTGAAAGAGCTAGACCTGCTCGTTGCCAGAATCACATCAGGGATCGAGGCCAGACTAGATTTGCATGTAGCTCGCGCTGCCGCGACAGCAGCTGCTTCCCCACCAAGCCAATATCAACTTCCCAACGCCCATTTCCGTATCGTAGAGATGCTCATCCACGCGCTCTACACCGGTCAGCTCCAGGCCATGAACGCGAGCGGCGTGTTCTACGATCCACCAGCCTACGATCTTGTTCAGGTCTTTTGCCTTGCGGAGGAGCTGGATATCGAGTGTGTGCAGCAATGCGTCATTGTAGACTTCTTCAAGAAGAAGGAGTTTAGCGCAATAGGCGCGACTGAGACGATGAAGGTAATCGTGCTTCTGAAGGAGAAGAAGTTGAAGAAGTGCAAGCTTGAGGCCCTGTTTAGAGCCTGGCTTAGAGTCGGAGGAGCAGAATTGCAGGAGTATCTCGGTATCTTCCAGACAGAGTAGAAAGTTGGGGCAATGCCATCTCTAGTGGGCGTGGTACCATCCGAGGTGTCCTGGTAGGCTACCAGGCTCGTCAAAACTGTGTTGTTGCAATATTGGATGACGTGCCAGAGGATCTCGAGCAGTACTGAGAGAGTGCAGGCAAGCCTGAGGGGTGATTTAAAAGTAGCGGAAGTTTTGAAATTGAGGCATGTATAGTACAGACTTGTGAATTGCTACTCGTGTTCAAGAGTGTGTGGCAGGACTGCCGCTGGGAATCTAGCCTTTCCATTTACAATGCCTCCCCTTAAGCTAGCGTGTACTCAAGGGTCGTTGTACTTTGTACTTGAGATGGTGATACGGGGGTGGAGTCGGTGGTCCGCTAGGATGAGGAGAAGTGATGGTTAGGCTGAATCTATTGGACTCGAAGGCATAGCCGGAGATGGCTGCAATAACCTGCTGATGATTCTATAGACCTATGGATGGCGTGTTTCTTAGTTGTCGATGTTGATGTTACGGCGAAGGCCACTCCTCACGTGCTCCCCTCGCACTCGTCTGTAAGCGCCGGCCCCCAACCCAACCTGTCGAAACGATCGGGCATGTTAGCTATGCGCCACCCTCGTGTAATTGGCCTTTCCCAACTGCTGTGTTCCCAAGGCTGAAATCAGGCATTAGCTTTAGAGCTTTAAATATCTTCTGCAAGGGGCGTCCAATATTACAGGCATATATCTTTTCCAAAATCCTTCTCGCTTCTGGATGCCCTCTCATTGCTGGGCTCAAAAGGCTGAAATCGGGCATTCGTTTCATGCCTAAAATATCTTCGATAAGGGGTGTAGAATACTGTAGGTATATATCTACCCCAAAATCTTTCTCGTTCATAGCTTCCATCTCATTCTTCGAATTCATTCGATTGTAATTTTATTTTCAAGGTCGCTTTCTTATATCACATTGTAATTACCTAAAACCTCTATCCCGATGTACTCATTCGCTTCTGTCGCTCTCACTAGCCTCCCCCTCTTCAATCCTTCTCGATCAACGGTAACGGCCTGTCCCTCCGATAGCAGCCTGACCTGGTGCGCCGATGGGAATCTCATCAATGGCTTGTCCTCCTTCTGTTGCCCATCGGGTACTGAGTTCGCTTCATTGCTCCCGTCTTCCACTAGGGTTGCGCTTAAAAAACATGACGCTGCTACTTTTTCCGACGATGGTGCTACATTTTCCGTGGTTGCTGCTGCTTCTTCTCCCTCGGCTTCAAGCATATCGACCACGTCCGTCGCATCTTTCACTACGTCTGCTGCTTCCAACCTCTCTTCAACCCCTTCTTTGAGCCCCTCCGCACCCTCCTCGACTCCCTCCCCGAGCTCCTTTCCAACGTCCTCTCGTCCAGACACGAGAACCCTCGCCCTCGTCATCGTCATCGGTGCTCTTTCCCTCCTTACGATTATCGCCTTCATTCTCTTCTGCCTCCGGCGAAGGCGCCAGAGCAGATCTCGGCCGCAGACATGGGCAAAAGCCGAGCTAGATGGCACACAGGAAGCCCCTCCGGACCCAATCCCTGAGCTCCCAGCTGAGATGTCACCGGTGGAGGCTGGACATGGTGAGACATGGAAGATGGAAGCGGAGAATCCGGTCTATGAGTTGCCGGCTGGGAGATGGAGTCGGGTTGGGAGATATACCAGGGCATCGGCGGGGCTGAGGAGTGGAAGAACTTCGGCGGGGTGATGAAAGCACTATGAGGGGATTTTGTAGAACATTCAGGATGTGACGATGGGAGTCTTTTGCTAGTGTTGAAGTGGAGCATTCCTATCAAAGCTCTCCCAAATACTGAGAAAAATCAAAGTCCGGAGACGGGTCGAAATGGAGAGCCCATTCTTCCTCTTCAATACGGTGATTGGATGGGAGAAAGATTTGCGCATGACTGCTGCCACTTGGATTGTAGTTTGCCGGATCTGCATCGGAGTGCCAACTAGAAGAAGGATCTAGCGCATCGTTTGAAATAGGTTTCATGGGGACGATTCTGGAACCCAGAATCCTGAAACAACGCAGAGATGATTGAATATCTACGGAAGCAGTCTGAACGGGCAAGTGAGCTTAGCGATTCAAGCTTCGGATACTGTTGTCGGAGGACTGGAGTGTGATGCGGTTTGGCCGGTCAGGAGCATTAGACGCTTCTTCAGAAGAACTTGGTACTCTGTGTTCGTAGAGCATCTGATGTGGGTGGAGGGTTTCAGCATTATTGTCCATTCGAATTGCGCTAGTGGTTCTGTTCTTGACAGATTCCCGACGATTCGAGTTTGAACCAAAGAAATAGGGTGTCGTTTTTTGTTCTTCGGGCTGCGGATGGACTTGCTCTTTACACATTTGGACAGTTATGGAGATTCGCTCTTTGATTCTTGTTATAATCGGGGCCAGCACGGGGTCAAGCTCTTTGGTCAATTCCTCATGGAGAAATTGTGGGAGCAGCCTCTCCCAGCGAGCATTAATGTGATGGTCGTCAACTACTTTCAGTAAGCATTGGTCACTACACCAAAGATAACTGACGGAAAATGCCGCGACTTACAAGGCGAAGGTATCTCCTCATCTTGCGGAAAGAGGACTTGACACATGTTGGCCCATTTATCTTGGACATCGCTCAAAAGCGCAAATGTTGCCTTTTTGAAATCAAGTAGTTCCCACGCCCCAGGACTAATACGGTCGTCGTATGGTTGGGCGCGTTTCTTGCAAGCTTCGTCTTTTTGCTGGTGTGCCGAAAATGCGGCGTTGGAAGCCATCTCTTGCTAGCATCTACGGCATAGTATTAGTTGACTGTAGACATGTTTGAGATGATCTCTGTCGATAGCCATTAGTGCTTACATACTTAAGAACGCATAGTATAGAGAGTTTTTCCGCGACTTACTTCAATTTAGCCATGTCCGCGAAACCTTGCCCTCTGCAGGCCGCCCGGCTGTATTTTTCGGGCTCCCTTTGAAAGAATGGGCATTTCAGCCGCGGTTTTGGCTGCTTCTCGAGATTGTAATCTTTCGCCTGCTTCTTCCGCCGTCTTTCGTTGCCGTCATCGTCATTCTCTGACTCCTCATCGCCATTTCCCGACTGGTGCTGATTCTCAGTCATTCGCCCTCTCTTCCTTGTCGAAGATTCCTGGAAGGTGCCAGGAGATGGCGACGTTGTACAGGTTCCATCATTTCCCGCTGAATTTGGTGGAGTTGCGGTTGGCGGGGAAGAAGTATGGCGGAAGTCCATGTGACAGCACCGGATGGAGCTCAGAAGTCCCTAGATGATAGGATCTTTAAGCTTTTCACAAAGTATCTCGAGCAGTAGTTCCTCGAAGTCGTTAATTTCAGCATCTTCCGTATGAGAACGTCGATGCACATCTTCGTCGCAGTTTAATGAGATTTCTAGTTCTCTCGGCTTTCCATCACGAGTGGCGATTCGAGAGGTTCTCGTAAAAGTGGGTAGATGAGAGGACGGTGACACTAAACCAGTTCGACGCATTGTTCCATTCGAGTTTTGCATCATTTGTTCTTCTCGATTCTCACGTGGAAAATACGCCGGCAGCTTTCGTTTCTGCGCATACGGATGCGGTATTTCATACTGGTCATCGGTATCCGAGTCCTGACCACCTGTTATTGTCTTTGATATAAGAAAATCTCGCTCTATTCCAAGATACCAGCTCGGAGATGCCTTCAACGTACTCTGGTTCGAAGCTGCGACAGGGGGGTCTGGACGGAGCGACTTTCGTTTTTCAGTGTATGAACCTTGATCCTTAGCGAACTTCTTTCCGGGGGTACTGGACGCGGCTGTCGTTGGCGATGGTCTGTGAGGAGAAGTATTAGTTTTAGATAACCAATAGGGCGCTGGTCCGCGGGGCCTTCTGTAATCCTGAGGCGCAGACTCTGTGTCATTTTGTCTTCACGCAAGAGAGGTCTACCACTGTAATGGGTCACCTTTGGCGTTAACCAATGTTTCAAATACTTTGGCAACAGTGGTTGACGATTTAGGAGCCTGCTCACGAGCCATTCCGTGCGTGCGTGCTGGTAGCTTCGTTTTATGGATAGGCTTCGTCTCTGGACGCAACCTATTCGCATTACCGGGGATCTTGTCGGATATCTCCTCTTCCTTATCACATCGTATCTTTTTCAAGTAGGACCGGTGACTCGGAAAGCCGAACAGACTGTCTTCTCAGATTCGCGAAGACACAGGTGGGAGCCTGCTGTCGATATCTATTAGAAGGCCATGAAGCTTCTCGTTGCAAGAATCCATTATGCGGCTAATGTCCTCAAGTCGCTCTAGATTAGAGTCCGTAAGAGGACCGCGAGGGGTTTTTTTTGAAGGAGGGGTTTGGAGCGTTTTTGAGTGCATCGGAGTACTTTGCAATCAAGGCTGGTATATCGAATTCTCCAGACAGAGTAGCCGGTTCAAAAGCTTTAGCTGCGTGTGTGGGGAGGATGAGCGTTTCTCATCTAGAAGGCATGTGCACTAAAACTGGTCAGATTGTAACTTATTTGCGAGATCTTAAAGTTTTACTTTCGTCTTCATTGCATGACAGACGTCGCATTCCCTAAAGCCAGTCATAACTTCGTCAGCATACTCGGACCACTCTTGTGCTGGAGCATCATGAGCGCGCTGTCGCTCATGTATGCTCTTCGGCTCTATCATAGTGCTTGATTTGCTAAACCGGAAAAATATTGGGCTAAGTAGGGTTCTGCTTCAGGGCTAGATAGAGTGCGCACCCAAGTGCTCCAATAAACACGTTAAGTATGCACAAGGGAAGTACGTACATTCAGCCTTGGGAATCTCTCGAGATCATATTTGAAGGGTTGAGACGAATCGCTGACGTGGCTGAGGGCTGTACCGCAGGCCAGCTCGGATCTCACCAATAATATTGCTATCGACCCGCCCACCACAGCACAAAATGTGCGATGCGCAATGCTGAGAAAAACCATTTTTTGTCATGGAAGCATTTAGGAGTAGTTATCCGATGCCCCAAAATGCAAGCATTCGAAAAATGTCAGGACTCATAGAAAACGAGAGCCAAAAGCTTAGATATGGCTGAACTCCCAACACTACATGAGGCTTACTGGAACGCAAAGGGGGAATAGTGGATAGGGTTTTGGTGATTTAGCCTGACGCTCAGACTACTCCCCATCTGCATTCGCGGCAGCTTCAAGTCCAATACGGTCCCTAATTTTCATAGTCGTTTTAGTCGACGATGGTAGGCCATGTGTGAAATGACGGGCTGTGGAGGAGATGAAGATGCCGGAGGCGCGAATAAAAATGTGACAATATTGAAAGCGCCGAACGAGAAGTGGAGGGCACTCGTGAGAGAAGTTTGTGCGACGAAGGAGACACATAAACCACGTTCTGCAAAATGGTATTACTCTAGCATGAAGATACATCGCGCTATATTAAGTCGGAGCTTTCGACGTTTTTCTCATAGTGGGTAGCGATTCTGATTTTCCAGGCTGGATCTGCCCCACATTTGAGGCACTATTGCTGCCTGGCGCCACTAGTCCTCCAGGCATCGAGGGCTGAAAAAGAAGGCAACAAGTATGCACGACGTCCGGTGGAGAGCGGCCTCACAAGGCTGAGAAACATAAATGCACAGTGTGCCCGCCGACTGGGCTGGCTTCGCAACTTTTCTCTGCCGTGCTCAAAGTCCGCCTCAAATAAGTCACCCTACATAGTCCTGCGTTCTAGCAGAGCTCACAGCCACCCATCGCCACATTATCGCCTCCGATAAAATGCCCGGGGGTTCTTTGGCCCAGAAGTTTCGCGACAGGAGGCGCCAGACCGGTGAGTCGGCGAAGCGGGGCGACGCTGCTTCGCTCAGGCGCCGCATCACGGAGAACTACGAAAAAGATGAGAACCCGAATGATCTTATTCCAGTCAAGTACCCCATCTACGAGGGAATGACGTGGGAGAAGATCCAGAGGTTTTTGGAGACCAAGTTTCCAAAAGAGGAGTATCCTAACTTGAACTTTAATGAAGAATTCGTAAGCTTAGTAGTCTAATCACTGCGGGCCATGTAGCTGGTTTCTGAGTTTTATTCAGGTCGATAACGTCAAGGACAAGTGGATCTTCGAGATCCCGAGGCCATTTACGCAGGTAAGGCGCAGACCTTTTGTCGAATGCGGATTGCTCCTTCCGCTGTGCAAGAACATGAGGCTGATGGCTGTGACCGTACAGAATGAATGGGACGAGCTGAACTTTATTCGGGATGAGGGAAAGATGGCTGGTTTGCGCAAAGATTTCGACGGATAGGGTATTAAGGGAATAGATCGTCCACGATCAGTTGGAAGGAATGGCCATAATTGCGAATAATCATGTAGATGACAATGATGAATGATGAGTGCTGTCCAAATTGTGGCAACCTGCTCGTGCCTCCTGACTGTTGATGGGGGCGTTTCTGATGAAAGTGTGGTGGCTGTACGGCGCATGGACGACCAATGAAATCTCGTCTGCCTTGTGTGCCGTGTCCCAAGTTGCTCCGCCCTCAGGCGCATGCGTCCGCAACTTCGAGGCACGAGACTGAGGCACGTCGAGGCTCCCTTCAATCCTCACGTCTCGTGGTATTTTAGACACAGGATATATGTTAAACTCTCCTTGCTTTTGCGTCAACCATTTGAAGATCAGACGCAATCAACACTTCTGTAAATCCGGCCAGGCGACCCACACATGGCTATAGTGCGGCAGCTTCCCGTTAGCTTTCAGACTTCCTTCTCGAATTCCACTTCGTACCCAGAGAATCTCATTCACAGAGGCACAAGCACATATCCTACTGCTCTCAAGGCTTATCGGAAGCGTCTTGATGATGTGTCGCCGAAGCTCCTCTTACACAGCGAGACCCATGCGGAGGTCCCGATTATCGACCTTTGCAGCGAGCTGGGGAACAGTAGGTTCAGTATAGACTTCATTGTAGTTTTAAGATGCTAAATGATGTAGAAATCCAAGGCCGTTATGTCAATACCACCGCAAAGTTGACGAGTGTTCTGGGCATCGAGTCACGCCCGAACCCCGCTGCCGCCACACAGAACGACATCGTTGCCACGAAAAGAGATCCAAAATGCAGATTCATGTGAGTAGCCCTTATGACTTTGTTTAAAAGACTAGTTCGCTGACTGAAGCCTTAGCTACTTTTACGGACCGCATTCTAGGGCAAGGCTGAGAGCCACACGGGACATACTCTCTCAGATACTAACATGCCATCAAGTAATGCCAGCCTATCTAGATTTCATGTTCGTTTTTGGCTCCCAAAGCGAACCAAGAGATCTCAGATTTAGCGGTTTTCGGGAACAGACGGCGCTCTGGGATCCACCACGCGGACAGGCCGTGACAGATCTCGGTAGGAGTGGCCGGCAATATCAACTCTGCTACAACCTCAAATGTGTCACTCTGAAGGCAAAGAACGAAGAAGACCCATCGCTCACCGAATGGTCTATACGTCAGGCCGCTATTCATCACCAGTTCGACGTCGTCTATGGCACTACTCTTTGGATTGTCACCACAGGCCACAGCGACCTTGAAAATAGGTTTCGCGAACTAACTGGAAAGGATGGACGGCCGGAGGACAAGTCATTCGACACCCTTGAGGAATGCTTCCGATCCAGTTTGTCCGCCCATCTGTTGTACTGCCATTGGTCCACAGAAGAATGGCGTTGGTACATCGGATGGATCGAGGAAGTGATGGATGAAAAAACGTTCGGCGCAGTCTTTAGTCCAACCCATCGGCAATACAAGCCGCATCATATCCAGGATCTACAGCAATGGGAAGACAAAACCAACGAGGTCATTATGGTTCTCGAAGCAAACGTTGAAGTTATGCGCTCGCTCCGCGATTTCTACACTGCCATCTTCAAGAAAAGAGACTTTCCGAACGCTCTGAAGGACGAATGTATGGATGACTTGCACGGGTTTGCGGCACAGATCGATTCCATGATCTATGACTTGAGAATGCAGATCGCTCGTGCAGTGCTCTTCGTTAAGATAACAAATGATAGGAAGGAGCTTGTAAAGACGCATCTCCAAACCCAAGCGACAGAAAGAATGGAAAGGCTGAATCGAAATATGGAGAGAGAAGCAATTGTCATGCGCATCATCACTTTCGTCACATTGATCTATCTACCTGCGACATTTGTATCCGTTAGTACAACCCACCATATGATCTTCTGCTGATACCATACTAATATGAGATCTCAGACATTTTTCAGCACCGACATCATCAAATATCAAAGCCAGACTGGTGACGCTCCGGGCGAGGGCACTTTCTCAAAAGCCGCGATGAACCGATGGATACAGGTCACTCTACCACTTACAGTCCTGACCCTGCTTTTTGCTTGGTCTTTTCTGAAGCTCTCCGAAAGATGGAGAACGAACCAAGAGAGTCCAAGGGCGATACCGAAGCAGCAGCCGGCAAAGGCGACAAGCGGAAGCCCAACAGGCGGACTTCTACCGACGTATCTTCGGTACAAGAAGGCGCAGCTCGGAGTGTCTATCAGGGAGAAAACGTTTTGGAAAGTATGACAGATCCGCTTGCATCCATAGGTAAAGAGTGATCATTTGTATACGTATAGAGAGCGCCTTAGAGGGCTATATCACGTGATGTTAGCACAAGATCCATCGAGTGCCGTGAACAGTTTGAGCATCCCGATTTGTCTCACAATATCAATTCAACCTGTATGTTCGACTCTGCTTGATTTACTTAAAGTAAATAAAGATAGGAACAGCGCTTAGGAGGTTGAGATAAAACTTATCACGTGACGCTAGTGCGACCTTAATCTCGACCTCATCCCGACTCACAGACTTAACTTCATCATTCTTTCAACACATCATCATTAAGACTACTTACAACACATGCTGACAGAGTTTGAGCTGGCCGCGAGGCACTGAAGTGTGCAATCGGTGTCCTGCAAGGCTGCGTGGATTGGGCGCTTCAGCCGTGCAGCCCTCCACAATCCTGGCCCCCATCCCGCATGTGCAACCCCTCACAGCCACCAGCAAAAGCACTTCTCACACAAGGCAGCAGCACTCGATCTAGATGTTTCGCCAGCCAGCATTTGCCTTCCATCTTCCGGACTGATCCTGTCTGCGCAAAGATGATGCGACTTTTAGGCCCCCGTTCAAATCGAAGACGCCTGGGTTCTCGAACAACAAGGCTGTGTCAAGCCTCGTTGCTCTTTCCCTCAAGTGGCGCATAATGCCCGCAGTTCCCAGCGCCACAAAAGGCGCCCTGTCACACGGGAGGGCGGACTGCCGCCGTGACTGGCTGCCCCGGAGCCGCATCTCTCGAGGAGGCTGCCCTTATGAGCTCAGCTGTCCCTCCAGCAGTAGGTCGCAAACATGAGCGCATCGCTCTTCCCTCCACTCGTTATTCATCCTCACGTTTCTGTTTGGTCTTACGCGCGGCATCATCATATTGATCGGGCACCTGTGTTAGCAAGGCCCGCCTTGCATTGGCCGCCCCTCGTTCTTGTCGTGTTCTTGCTGGATCCACGTCACCATGGCGGGCTTAGCGTCGCCTTCGAGCTCGAAGGATCTCTGCGAAAGATTCAAGGACAAATTGGCCACCGAGTGGAAACGTGAAGCAGCGTGCGGAGCTGAGTACAAAGACAAACAGTTCTTCATCGACACCGATCGACTGACGAAATGGATGTTGCGACAAGACACAGACAAAAGGTCAACCCACGCAGCCATACTCCTCCTTGAAGCTTATCATCGCAATCATCGAGAGATCTTCCAACCTGCGTTCTCAAACCTAATATTCACCGGAGACAATCGCTGCATTCTCGTCTTCAGCATACTCCTGACCCTGGATAAAGGCGATCTAGTGGACATATTCCAGAAAGCCAAGATCGTTGACAAGAATCTCGAGTTTGCCCACACATTCTACAAAGAGCTCGAAGAGGATCTGAAGATGAAGAACATCCAAGATGCGGCGCGGATCATCACCGAATTCGAGAAAGCAAAATGGTCCTACTGTCCCGCTCCTGTCAGGATGGACATGGAGGAGAAATTCCATGGAGGAAAATGGATACTACCATTCTGCAGACGTCAAAGTATCAACACCAAAGGCGGTACCGCAGAAGTCTATCAAGTGTCGCTGCAAGAGGATCTTGTTCCGGATGATATGAAGAAGGTCATATGGCGTTCGAAGTACGTGGACAAGGACTACGGAGTCGTGAGTAGACCTTCTTGTGCTAAGCAACGCATGTACAACTTTACTGACCGCTCCCAGTGCTACAGACTCGCTTTGAAATCATTTGCTTTCCGGAATCAACACTTCTATACATGGGAAAGAAATGCATTTCTCGGCATCCGGGGCAAAAAGGGAATGGTTCAATACCTTGGCGATTTCTCCTTCGACGGCGCACCCTACGATCCAACTTCACGGACCCACAACATCTTGCTCGAATACGGAGATCAGGATCTCGACGAATACTTCGCTGACGAGGAATCATACCCTCCTGTGCTAACGACCGAAATTACTGTATTTTGGAAATCCTTGTTCAAAGTCGCAGATGCTATAAGCACAATCCATACCCTTCCCTTCCGCTACGAAGATGGCAGCATTGAGCTTTATCATGGGTATGTTCTCACTACATTGCATCTTGTAAGCCTTTTTGACCCATTCTATAGATGGCATGCCGACGTCAAGCCTGATAACATATTGAGAGTACACGGCGAATTCAAATTAGCAGACTTTGGTTTCGCAAAGTTCAAGCGCAAAGGCGAGACCGTTCCGACAGAGGTCATCGAGGGCGGAACTCAAACATATGGTACGCACTCAATAAACTCATAGGATAGATGATGGTATCTAAAAATCATTACGAAGGCTCCCCAGAATGTGATCAAGGTCGGGTCAGGGCAGGCACTATCACTCCAGTGACCCAAACTATTGACACTTGGTCCTATGGGTGTGTTCTATCCATCACGGCAACGTGGGTTGTCCTTGGCTTCCAAGGCGTGCGCCAATTCGAGGCTTTCAGGATGCGGGCGATCAAGAAGTTGAAAAAACAAAACGCGAAAGATCGATCAATCAGCACACCCACTGCGGACGATGCATTTCATGATGGCAAAGAACCGTTGCCAGAGGTCCTCGAGTGGCACAACTATCTCCGAGGTCACCTCCGCTGCTCAGATACGGTAACGCCACGTGTGTTGAACCTCGTGGATGAAGCTATGCTTCTTGCCAACCCTCGTAGGCGTATAACATCTGAGAAACTTTGTAAGAGACTTGAAGACATATTGATCGTGTGTGAAGACGAGCGGAGTAAGAGGAACCCAGCAATGGATCCTGATAAGAGCGTTCTAGAAGCGCTTCTAGAGTACGAAAAGAAACCAAGGCAAACGAACACTGCTCGTCGATCGTACACAACCCGAACGCCGAGTGGCACCAACACGGACAGTCGAGGATCTTCGCTACGTACATCGGGAGACCGGCAATACCGGAAATCAAAACGTGTTGGCAAATTTGAGAAACTGGACAACGTGCCACATGCACAAACAGCTGGCCGCGCGGAAATGCTCGAAGAAGAACTGGAACAACTGAAGGCGCCTTCGATTGTGGTACAGACTCGCAACGATGCCCCTAGCCTTCCATCCAACGAAGCCCCTAAGTTGGAACTAGACACCGTTTATGAAAACGGTTATCGGGACCTTTCACCTGACCCAACGAGGCCACGTCGAAGGAGCCGATACTCCGAACGCAGACAAAGCCCATCCAAGCCGATGGGACACACTTCAGTGGCTTTCGATCTTCCGACTGTGCCCACTGCTAGTCATACAGTTGGACAGGATTCTCTTTACGATAGTCCGCTTGAACATGACGAAGACATGCCTGGCCATACACCATACCGAGGACGACAGCCTATACCGCGAAATCCTGGCTTGGTGCGAAACTTATCGCAAGGCTCTACGGCCGAACCTAAGGAAGATCGGCTGGACGCTCCTGGCGTATCTAAGAACCACGCCACACACCCAGAGCCACGTTCCGCGGAGACCTCGACTATCAAAGTTGAAGACTCTTCTCGTTATGCCGTCCCAACTGAGAAGCCGGATGCAAGTCCAGGAAGTACTCAGCGACAAGTTCAGCAAGATTCCGTTGGCCGAACCCCATTCGGCGCGACTAAAAGCCCCGTTGTGGATCCCGCTTCAGTTCAAGCCAGCGGGCAGAACTCTTTCCCGCCTGTTTCGCTACAGCCACACGCAGTAGTTGAAGAGCTTGAGACGCAAATAGATCAGAGTGGCAACGAGACGCCTCAGTCTCAGCCTAGTGCCCTCGACAGTGCCAGTGATGGGCATTTCAAAGTGAAACCGCGCCAAGAGGAACCTACTCCATCAATACGGCATGATGATACTACCAATATCCCACCGCCACTGTTGCCCGACCTGAACGGGGTATCGATGGATGCAGACATGAGCTACCTAGATTACGGCACATCTGCGCCGTTCCCTCATCCCGAGCAAGATGAAGTAGCAGACGAAGACGAGGGCACCAATGGCGCTGGTCAGAACACTGTCCCCCCCGTAATGCTTTCGGTCCCTTCAGCTTCACCTACTGAAATCGACCCATCATTCGATATTTATCAAGTACGGCAAGAACTCGACAAAATCTGGCCAACGGGGATGGGTGCTAAGCTTTTGTCTTTCGCGGGATTGACCCCAACTAAGAAAGACTCCATTCTGAAGCTTTACATCAAGAATCGAGACATTGTGAGTTCATCGACTTTGACCATATAACACTAGCTTACAACTTTGGGCAGAAATTCGTTGTGGACAACGGAACCACCATGCTTCCCTTCTGGGATGTGGCAACGTTTGTGATTGAGACGTTGACGATGAAATTAGCAGGTTTGGATGATGATGGTCTGGATCTCGTATGCACTCTTGGTGATATCAGTTTGGAAAACGAGAAGGGCCTCCATGCACCGAGTAACTTCAGAAATGCCATGAATCGCGCCCGCCCTTCCAGCGACGGTGACGAGAAGACGGACATGCGAGAGACTCTGGAGGACATTTTTGAGGATTATCTCACGAGCAGAAAGGCAGCAAAAGACAGGAAAATGACATTGATCGTGCTCACTGATGGCATTTGGAAGGGCTCGGTACCTCCGGAAAGTGTGGGAGCAAAGATTGAAGAGTTCGTGAAGCAGCTCCATACCTTGAAAGACCGCGCTTTCAGTATCCAGTTCATTCGGTTTGGCGACGACGAAGAAGCAATCGAAAGACTCAGACGACTCGATGATGACCTGCCTAAAAAGCCTGGCATGCGGTTAGTATCCTATCTCCTCTCCTGTTTCAAGGTACTAATGATCAATCAGCGATATCATTGATACTGTCCCGTGGACGGGCAAGGTCCGTAAGATGATCATTGGAAGCTTCAATGCTGCCGAAGATGCGGAAGGCGGGATACTTCAACATCGTGGTTCGCCCAGTTTGTCTACCCCGGACCCTCCCATGTCTATGAATAGGACAAGTACGGACTTGTCTCGCCACAAGCCCAAGAGACTGTCAAGGGTGTCTTCCATGTTCAACAAACGCGAAGGGTCAGAGTGAAAACAGTCCTGTCGACGAACGTCCCAATCTCCATCCATATCATCACCACCCTGAGAACCTGACCAGGGACTTCACTTCTCAAATTGATATAGTCAGAAGGGCCACCAAGCGTTGTACTGTCTGTCGCCGCTTGGCCCGACTGGGAGCTTCTAGGTGCTCATTCTATAGGCATATAGACGATGACTGCCAATTACCGGAGCACATCCTGCGGATGACTACTAGGAACCTAGCTATCCACTAGCTAGTACTTGATGTTGCAAGAAAAGAGCGAATAAATCGGTACCTGGAGATTCTGCGCTTCCGAATCGCACCAACGAAGCCGTATGTACCGATTCAAGTTCTATGCATCGCAATGCGAACTGACATGATCAATAGGTTTATGCTTGTCTTGACTCCTTGAGAATTAAGCCACTTTTAAACCCTAAAATTATGCTTTCGCGCTTCATCGACCTCCTTCGCGTCTGCTACCACTATCTCGCCGCGGGCATTGACATTTGCCTTCAGCGCTAACCTCATCTTATCGACATCTAGAACACCTTGATTCGGTCTTCGCATTGCTGTACGATCGTGTTCGCACTGGGCTTCGTGTAGCCTATAGACTTCGCCTTCTTCTATGAATCCGTGCATGCTGAGTGCGAGTTGGGAAAGGCTACGGTGCAGTCGGTAAAGAAGTAACCTCGGAAATTGGGAGTCGATCATAACTACATGGTCTGAGGGGCCTTCGATTCGTCTTTGCATGTATGGGTCATTTTGATAGTATGCTAGGGTGATCGAGCGACGGACAGAGATCAAAAACTCCTTATGAAAGAGTTTCAGCCAATGATGCGATACGAATCTGGCCTCCCAGATGCCGACCGCGCACCCGTGGCGGAGACTACGAGATCATGAAACATGGCGCAGAATCAGAATGGGAGAATACATCGACGTTTATGCTGGACTTCGTCCAATTTGCTTTGTAGTGAACCATATGCAGAGTTCTGAGGATATATACAGCAGTGCTTCCTTACCTCGTAAGCTCAAAAGTCCCACCTCTACTTGAATATAATTTTGGTTTTCGCTAATTCTTTCTGGAGGACAGCTTGCTTGTTCCCAGAACTCTCCATCGCACAGTTGTGCTCTTTACGCATGGTATTGAGGTCGGTGCGGCATTGCGCTATTCTATTGGTAGCGCTTAACACGCCACCTGCACACTCCAGCTTCAATCACATCGCACATTTGTGCTCACCAGTGCCAGTGCAACCTCAGCCTGATTCCCCGACCGATACAATGTTCACACTTTTGAAATTATTTTGCTGTCAATTGCAGCGAATGCCGAGTGGGGATTCCTATCGTCAACCCCTCCGATCACCTTGGGATTGATTGCGTTCTCCTAAGATTCTTAGCGAAGCTCTGGACTCACAGACATGGACATCGAGGCTAGTCCTACTGCCGTCCATGAGATCCCACTTGGAAAGGTGGTACCCATTCGGACCAAAAGCTGCGAGTGGAATGAGATACCATGGGACTCGGACGATTCAGAACGCACATTAGGCGATGTCGAAGATGTACTGGTACATCGACCTGTCAGAAAGCCACGTAATTTTCACAGTACTCAAATCACGGACCTCAAAATTTCCCGCATCCGCGTATTGTGCAGTCACGCAAAGTGGAAACACGTATGGTGCTCAAGGTCGCTTGGAGGTTTCATGCTGCCGATGTCTGGACTGACTTTGCATGATTTTCTCAAATATACCACATTCGACAATGAGAAAAAGGATGTACTCTTGCGAAGCGTGGGATGCCTTTCCTCGGCGCTTGCGTTCTTGCACAACCATAAAAGTATGTACATTTGATATACTTTTGGAGGCCCCCGCTAACTAATCGATCAATTGAGTCTGGCATGGTGACATCAACCCACAAAACATACTGCTGAAGAAGACTATGTCCAGCACTGAAGTAGTGCTCTCGAACCTCAGTATTCCGAAAAAGCTATATCATAAGAAAATGGGAAAAGACTCTGGAATACATCAGCTGCAACGTTACCGCGCTCCAGAAGTGGTATATAAAAGCCAAAATGGAAGTGCCTCAGATGTCTACTCGTTAGGATGCGTTTTCTTCGAGTTATATTGGGTGCGTGGCGGATACAGTCTCAATCTTCTCTCCTCAATTTTTACCAAGCAGTATTATCACGAAGAAGAGGTTCTTATGGGTCACATCTTATCTGTCGCCACATGGGATGAGTTCGGAGATATGAAGTGGATGAAGAAAATGATCCAATCTGACCAAAATTCAAGACCACGGGCATATGAAGTCGAAGCGGCATTAGTCGTCAGCACCCGCAAGATGATTCCACTACAGGATCTTTTCTGTTATGACTGCATTCGGAACATACCGCCTCTAAAGAATCTTCTTTCCGCTAAACATTGCTTGGAACCATGCCATCAAGACAACCCAATCATCGAAGGAATTCCCTGTGCGAAGCTGGGAGATGAACCTCGATCACACTGTGTAACCCTGCTTCCGTTAACATACTCTGCGCTTCCACAGGTTTCAACAATAAGAACCGATAGTCCAGCTCCATACATATCTCAACTTCGAGCGAGGTTAAACGCACGTTCTGAACAAGCAAAAGCTTCTGTCCGAGGAATAGAATTAGCCATCGAAAGATCCGAAGTTGGCACCGGACAAATGCACCATAGTACACGTATAGCGGATCTACAAGGTGTCCTCGTCCAGGGACTACCAGAATCATCCCACTATAAGGCCGTAGGGGTCCCAAAAACTTCAGCATCGAGCAATAAGACTACATCAGGGAAACAATCTAGCAGCTCGAGCGAGCTTGTGCCGTCATCAGCTTCGGGGTCTATCTTCCAGACGTCACGTCAGAAGAGAGGACGCAATGCCAACGGAGAGGCAATTGATGGTAATGACGACTCTCAGGACGATAACGATGAAGACCGAAGGCGATACACGAAAGGAAAACGGCCTTGCTCAAGACCACAACCACGACTGAAATGCCCATTTTATCAAAGGCAGCCCGAAAAGCATGGGAAAAGAGCGGCGTGCAGGGGTCGAGGGTTTATGGATATGGCAAAGCTAAAGTAGGTGTTTCTCAACTTTTTACTACTCCTTGAAGTGTTTTGTCATAACAGTCAATAGAGATCATCTGAAACGAGTCCATTCACAACCCGTGCGATGTCCACGATGCTGGCAAGAGATGGAGTCAGACGACGCCTATGTAGTACACGCACAAAGGGAAGAGGGCTGTGAGAAGCTACCGGAGCCATATGACGATCGCATCAGCCGTCTAAAGTGGTCAAGTCTCGACTTCAAAACGGCGCCGTATTCGCAACTCAAAAGTGGAGGAGAAAAATGGAGAAAGCTTTACAATGTACTCTTTCCGCAGGACACCGAGATACCATCCCCTTGTAAGTCTAAGCATGCACACACGCGGGATTACTATAGAAATTTACTGACAGAAATAGTTGAGGAGCTTAGAACGAGCGCTCAATGGGAGAAATTCCTCCCCGACGTGCTTTATGAAGAGTTGAAAAATGAACTTGGGCCGCTCCTAGAGCCTGTCCAATCGAGGATCAAAGAGAGAATCCCCTTCATCATCCAGCGATGCAAGGCTCAGATGCTTTCCGTACCCCAAACTGAAACCAATACATCGGGGTCTTCCAGTCCAATCTCAAACAGCCAAGAGGTGGTTAATCAGGCTATTACGGGCGCGTTTCACGAATTGGACACGTACGATTCTTTTACACGGCATGACGTGATACCGGCCGAATATATCTCGAATCTACCTCCTAGCAGCACTACGACAGAGCCGAACCATTATCCTCAAACTAATTATGGTCCCGATTACAGAGCTCCAGACTTTGATTTCTCTTGGTGTCTGGAAGACCGTCACAATCGAGACCTTGAGGAATCCAACAGCTTGGGGTAGCTATTCTCTGCTGCCACTGACACTGGATATGGTGGCCAAAAAAGTCGAGCACTCCTTTGAAGAGGAAGGACATCGAAGCTCCTGTGCGGAGGCTAGCGAGATACTTGAAATCAATGGAACGAGGAGCTGAGGCAAGGATTTGGTTGGTTTTGATATGGAATGGGGATAATTGTAAAGAACTGGAGAAGGATTTCGGTAGCAGAGCCTCCTTGCAAGTTTACTCAAGGAAGTTGATGATCTAGTGTAAATAGCGATTAGGATAGATGTTTTGGTGTCCTATATTGAAAAAAAGAACAGCGATAGAAGCCAGCTTTTGGGACGGTACTCGTTTATTTGAAAAAGGATTATTGCCAACCGCAGTAGAAATTTATTAACATACCCGAGTAATAGGATGAGCTCTTCGAGAATTATTTTGCGTTCGCAACTTTGCGAATTCACATCATTGCAATTTCCACATCTGATTACACTCGCAAAAGCTCAAAGGCTTGGGAACCAGTTGAGTTCCGGATTCCTATAATGCCGCTTCCGAGCATGCCACAAGGCAAGAAGCGCTCAAGTGTGCGAATTGGATCATGTGCGAATCGCAGGCCAATCTGAGCTCCATGCCCATGGCTCAATCTAGACACAGCACAAATGTGCGATGCAGAATTTGGGGAAATCCAAAATCTCGCAAAACAAAGTCTAACCTCGCATTTGAGCGATGCGAAGTTGTGGTTAAAAGAATGCGACAGGCCACAGCAGCAGAGAGGCTTATAAGAAGCCACAGAACCATAGAACAGACTCAAAAGTAGCCTAAACTCGGAGAAAAGAGAAGGCATAGCTTGAAGGTACAACTTTGAATTTTCATCTAGGTGCAAAAGATCTGACGAGTGCGAATCAGGCGTTTCCTATCGCAATGACCGATCAAACAAAGAAAGACTCCTGCAACTCTCAGGCCAGGCAAGCGTCCTTGAACCATCCAGTAATCGATCTGTCGCTTACTTGGTCCGCCCTAGCGGTTCGGACCCGGCTTTCTCGTCCGCAATTCAGCGGTTCCTCAACGACCGTGAGGACACTCCCTTACTAGCACGAACGCCTAGCGAACGAGGTTCCATACGATCACGTGAGGAACGCATCCAACGAGTTCTATCAGATGTGCAGAGATCAGCACTGAATGAGGAGGCGAAGAAGAAAACAGCGTGAGAGGGGTCATTTTGAGTAGGTCGTCTATGAACCGAGATCTGTATCGGAAAATGAGGCTTGCGTGCTTACTCACTACTTGATACCCTCTCGATCAACCGTCCTAGATCAAACCTGTCTGAAATATTCGTTGTATATTCATGAAAGCTAGCATGTTCCAGCGTTTATGGTTTCATAGAATATAGACATCGTGATGAAAGATGTTGTAAGACCCCAAACGCCGCAACTGAAACTTGGAAAATATTGGTCCGAAGAATTCTAGATAGATTTTTGAGTTCCCTGGGTTTAGAACCGCCTTCTGGTCCCGTGACCTCCACGTGATTTCACCTATCCCAAATCTGACTAACGTACTCCACAAGCGAGCGGTCCACCCAAGCGAGCGGTCCAGCACCAAAAAATCAATATTTTATAGCAAAATATCTCAACAACCACCAGATAATAGCTTATAAAAACTTAAGTATAAGATATTTTATATATAATCTATATTATATTAAGATTTTAAAGCTATTTATTTAGTAGTTATAAAGATCTAGTAGTTTTGCTTAGTTTTAGCCCAATATCTTAGTAATTACTGAATAAATTGCTTTAACATCCTGACATGTTATAGATTATATATAGAATAGCTTATATTTAAATTTTTATAAGTTATTACTCAGTAGTTGTTGAGATATTCTGCTATAAAATATTGATATTTTGGTGTATATTGGGCTGGACCGCTCGCTTAGGTGGACCGCTCGCTTAGGTGGACCGCTCGCTTGTGGAGTACGTTACACACGTCCTCCGTCTTTCGCAAAAAAGGAATATGAGAGAGCCATTCTTTATATTTCACAACTCTCCAAGTCTTCTTGCCTCTGTAGCTTTCCGCAGATACTAAATGTGTATACGTGACGGCCACGACTAGGTTACAGCCTCCAGATGTACCGCATATTAACAGCACTACTTTTATGACTGTAATATAAGATTTCTGAAGAAGTCTAATAGTCACGTGCAGCGACGTAGTACGTTAGCTGCTACTAAACTGATCAATATCGCGCATAGCATCGAGCAACTCGCCGAACCGTATTTGGATTTCGGATAGTGACTCGTGCCAAGACATCTAGGAAGGGTCCAGTCGTCTCGAAGCGAATCTGAAGCTCCTTCATAAGAGGAATCGAGATGAATATGTCCCGGCAAGACGCGGTCTTGTGCTGGAAGCCGTTAGAAAGAAGTGGAGCTTTACCCTCATGGGTGAAGGTCAGCTCCATTATTTCAGGCTGTTCGGCATTGATTCTATACAAGGAAGGTCTTGTCCCAATTCTGGCGAAGAAATGCTCAAGGGCTGGATTCAGCATCTTGCCAAGTTTGAACATACGACACATACTAGGTGCTGGACGGCAGATGAAAAGATTTCGGATTCTCTATGGGCTTCCAGGAATTTGTACTTCCACAGGGGATCTCAGGCGCGTCAGCTGGCATTTCCACATCTAGTGTCGAAGCGTCGGAGAATTATCTACGACTTCTTTCCACTGCTTGCAAACTTTGACGAAGCGGATTAGGTCTGGGACGTCGAGGTTGGAGGCCATGCGCTCAATCAGCTCGGGGGTTTGGAGGGGACTTGAATCTCGAGTGCTTTCGAGCGGCATGTTTGACGACGCCGTTTGTGAGCGCGTGAGACTGTGTCGATCCATCGGTCTTGGGATACGTGTTGGTGTGAAGTGGTTCGATAAGTTGGTTGGGTTCGCCGAAGAAATCTTAGTATTTCGGCTCCAGCGGTAGAGAAGGTATTGAGAAGAAGCTGATAGTTTACGAGAGAGGAAGAGAGACAAAGTATCGGCTTTTCGGCTTTGTGGGTGAGTCATTGATTTTCCAATCCATTTCAACCACGATTGATGCGCAGCCTTAGCAAGATGATCTATGGTACACCGTTGCAAAACGCCTTCATGAAACCTGCTCTACCGAGAAGCAATCATGAAAAACTTGACTAGAGATGACTTACGACAGCTAGAGCAGCGGGCTCCATGTAGCTTGTAGCTTCTAAAGACTTGGAAGACCCGACTTAGTCACGTGACTCTTTCGTGTTCATAGGGTTTTTTTGCTAAATCCTCATTTCTACTGCAACACGCACATCCATCCCAAACGCTAAAAGTGAGCCTAACGATCCATTCATTCACGGCCCTGAGCAGTTTTCCCATGCCCGAATCCTCCCTCGCCCGTCGGCCGTCGCTCTCCAAACCCACCTACGTATCAAACTGCCACTTTTGCAAACCTCCCCTAAACCCCTCCTTCGGCGGCGCCCTACTCGTGACCGGCCTCACATTCGCCGTCTGCGCATAGGCCTGTGCCGCAGCCGCACAGACCTTCTTGTGCTTCTTCATATCGGCTTTCTGGCAGTCGCGTCCACAGTAGGAGACCGAGTGGCATTTGGTGCAGTCTTTCAGTGGTTTCTCGGCGTCTGCGGCTGGTTCGGGTGCTGAGCAATGCGCGCATTTCTTGATAGGATTTGATGTGGAAGAAGATGATATTGATGGGTTCTCTTGGCTTTGTGGTTGTGGGGTAGAATCAGATGATTGAGGTGTTTGGGATGATTGGGGTTGAGCAGCTTGGGTCCCCTGGATTGATGCAGAGGGATTTGAGGACTCCATTGTGATGGATTTCTGGCGGGTCCGTCAGAAATTTGACTTCTCACGTGAGGAGATGCAGGTCAGGCAGAATAATGAAGGATCTCCCTACCGAGTGGAGAGTTTGGCGAGACGCAGGGTGATATGACGGCACTTAGTACTCTCACCGGGGTTACTATTAGAAACGGGGATCGATTCGTGGAGGTGCAGAATTTTGGTGAGGACTTGTGTGGCTGTGGAGTTGAAGTCGCGAAAAGCCAATTTGACCTTACGGTTCGCCGTAGCTAACACTAAGCTATTTGCGGAATACCGTAGCAAGCGAGCCCACGTGATTATACAACTGATCAGTCGAAAGCCTTCCACGACCGCTTCAATCACCGCTTTGCTCACTCAATCGTGAAGGTAAGGACTTAATGAAATTTGGGTATTGTATGAAGATGATGAAGATAATTTGCCGTCTTCAGCACAGGCTTCTAGACCGCAAGTTCAGGGATGCGGAATGAATGCGGGATGCGGCTCCAACGGGACCCATGCGCCGGTCAGGCCGGGACGCGCCATCCGCTCGCCCCACACTCCCCTTTTCCAAATCCGATCCGACTGCCACTGGATGAGTTAAGCCTCCACTATCTATGTACGGGAGTCTCTACCGAGCGTTCAGGCAAAGGGAAGCAAAGACAGAAGAGTGGCATGACTGCGCGGTTCCCGACAACAGCAGAGATAACGCCCATTAGTGGCACCATCACAGGCACGAGCGTGTGGTGCTTCGACGGATGACAACGAATCCTCCAAGAAGCACGGGCACACCCCGGCTCGGCAGCCCTTCTAGGTTACGACGGTCTCGAAATAGAGCCACTAGCATTGGATGCCGCGTGTTTCCCCTGACATGGCTGCGTTGTTCCACGATAGTGATCGACGTCACTTGTTCAAAAGTCTTTCCACCTGCTCTTCTTTCTCCTTCACTTCACTTTCGTTCTCCCACCACACCTTCAACGACGTTCTTTCTGTAATTAATTATCTAATAGTCACTCGCTTCTAATTATCTGTCCCTCTTTATCCTCATGCGTCTCTCATCCACCCTCCTCGGTGTTGCCGCCGTTCTCGGCGCCGCCGAGGCCCAGCTACGCGGCTTCAACTATGGGGCCAACTTCTTGAACAACCAGGCAAAGGTGCAAAATGACTTCGAGTACGAGTTCAACAAGGCCAAAAGCCTTCCAGGAACTTCCGGATGGACTAGCGCTCGGCTCTACACCACGATCCAACATGGCACCACCAAGGACCCCATCTCCGCCATCCCAGCCGCCATCAACACCAAGACGAAGCTCCTCCTCGGTCTATGGGCGTCAGGCACCACTGCTGCCGCTGGCCAAGCCAACATCAACAATGAAATCGCTGCTCTTAAGTCAGCCATCTCCAAATATGGCACCAAATTCACCGACCTTGTTGTTGGCATCTCAGTCGGCAGCGAAGACCTCTACCGCATCACACCTACTGGCATCTCAAACAAAGCCGGCGCTGGTGCTGAACCCGCCGACTTGATCAAATACATCAAGCAGCTCCGCGCCGCGATCAAGGGCACCAAGCTCGCCGGCGTCCCCGTCGGCCACGTCGACACCTGGACTGCGTACGTGAACGGCACCAATGCTGGTGTCATCTCGAACCTCGACTTCCTCGGTGTCGACGCATACCCATACTTCCAGACTTCCATGGCCAACTCTATCGGCCATGCCAACGAAACATTCTACAGTGCGTATAACCAAGTCAAGAATGTGAAGGCTGCGAAGGGCAAAGCTATCTGGATCACGGAGACTGGATGGCCAGTTAGCGGACCGAAGGAGAACCAGGCTGTGGCTAGTGCGGCAAATGCCCGCATCTACTGGCAGGATGTTGCTTGCAGCCTGCTAGCTGGGAAGGTCAACCTGTTCTGGTATGACCTCCAGGAAGCCCAGTACGGAACCCCGAGCCCGGACTTTGGTATCTTTGGTGCGGGTGATTTGGGCACGTTGAAGCCACGGTACAGCCTCTCTTGTTAAATCGTCTGATCTCGATCTGGACATGAAGATCAAAAACTGTGGTTTCGTCTATGCATAGCGAAGGGTAGCAGGCAACACACGGGCCAAAGGGCCTGTCACATTCCTTTATTTTAATTGACCCTTTGGGTACAAAAGTTTGGACTGAGTTAGAACACATAAGCAAAGAAGTGCCGCCGTAATGGAAAAGGGCACCCGATGCTCGACGTTCGTCATCTTGATTCTACTACATTCTGACGTGCTGATCTCTGCCAATTTTACCTAGGTACTTCCTTCATTTCGCAACCTCAATAACAACCTTCCCAACATGCTTCTGCGCCCAAAGATACTCATACGCCTCCTCCACCTCCCCAAACCCAAAAACCCTCTCATCAACCACCGGCCTAAACTCCCACTCCTCCATCTTCCCCACCATCTCCTCATATTGCGCCCTCGACCCCGCCAAAATCCCCCTCACATTCGCCGCCCTTGGCAGCACCTCCATCAAACTCGGTCCCGGGCCATCCTCCCCACCACTCAAAAACCCCGTCACCGCCACCGTCCCATCATACCGAATGGCCCTCAAACTCTGCCCCAGCGTCCCCGCACCCCCCACATCCACCACAAGATCCACCCCCTCCCCACCCGCCGTCAGCCCCCTCGCCGTCTCCCCCCACCGCCCATCCTCGCGATAATTCAGCACCTCCGCCACCCCCAGCGCCCTCAACCACCTCGTCTTGCCCGCCGAACTCGTCGTCCCAATCACCCGCGCCCCCGCGCGCACCGCAAACCCCGCCGCGAACAGCGCCACCGCGCCCGTCCCCTGCGTCAGCACCACATCGCCCGCGCGTATCCCGCGCGGGCCCGCGCCGCCCGCGACCCCCGGCAGCCCGGCCCCGAAGAGCGCGTTCCACGCCGTCAGGCCCGCGGCGCCGATCGTCGCGGCTTCGACGTAGCTGAGGTGGGCCGGGTACCGCGCGACCCACGACGCGGGCAGCACGGCGTGGCGGCGCAGCAGGCCCGGGTGGTGGCCGTCGCCGGGGGCGGCGTGGGTGGCGGAGGTCAGGGGGCCGGTGGTGTGGAGGGGCGCGGGGAGGATGAGGACGGGGGTGCCTGGGGCGAGGGTGGTGATGGCGGCGCCGGTGGCGAGGATCAGGGCGGAGGCATCGCTGGTGGGGATGAGGGGGAAGGTGGTGGGGAGGGGGTAGGTGCCCTGGGTGTGGGTGAGTGGAGGACGGTGGGAGGGGGAAGGGGAAAGGCGGGGGTAAAGGGGGAGAAACGTACGCGGGCGATGGCGAGGTCGCGGTAGTTGAGGGAGATGGCTTTGATTTCGAGGAGGACGTCGTTGGGGCCTAGGGACTGGATAGGGACGGATTTGGATAGGTGGAGGTTGAAGTTGGTTGAGGATGCGGATTTCACAACCCATTCGTCGGTTTTGGTGGGTAGGGCCATGATGATTGAATCTGGGGTTGGTGGTATGATGCTGGCGGTCTGCTAATGACTAGTATGATGGTTTGATAGTGAAACTTATATTTGGCCCAGAGAGTAGGTATTCCATGGTTGACAAATCCATGGAGCCTGGAGGGCGATTACCTAACATTTCTCGGCCCCTATCGAGTGACTCTAGTAACTCACTGGATTTAGTTGAACCTTGCACACAGAAGAGGAATGAAGAATGAAGAATGAAGGGTGTTGTTAAGTGAAGAGAGTGCTAATTACCAATCACGTGTCCACGGACTAGGTAAATGACTCCATTTGACGGAACTGGCAAGTATAGCTGTAAAACTGTAATCGACGTTTAAAGTACTTCCGATGAGTGGAGAAAAGGAAAGGTACCAAGCGTTGAGCTCTAGGATCAAGTCAAGAAAATATAGTACCAGGCCATGAGTCCGGGCACACGTGACATGGAAACCACTGCTTGAGTGCCGCTATCAGGAGCCAGAAAGCCTTTCAGTCAAGAGATAGCTTGAATTCAGCTGAACGAAACTTGACACCGCGCCCACGTAGACTTCGGATATCCAACAAACGAGTGTGCACGGGTTCATGCGCTGTCACGGGATGGATACCTGCTCCTGCGATCGAAAAACTTTCCTTTCAGAGGTATTGTAGAGCGTATCTTCCACTTGTGAGCAACTTCGGGGTAATTGGGGTGAGCTTTGAATAATGCGATGGCCGTCCTGGCATATTTCAGATCCTTGGGGGACAACAGATAAATGTGAGGGTGGAGAAGGCCTAGAGATCCGCTCCCTTCTTTCAGTTATTGATCCGCTTTTCGCCCGTCCATGGCCCTACCAGAACAACGAGTCCTTCTTTACACTCTGACAGCCTCAAGCTTAGGCGAAGTAATTGCCCACTGTAGTGCAGAAGCATCGAAAGAGGGGCCACTATCTGATCCTCATGTCGCTTTCTCGCTTCGCCCCCACCCTTGATATTCCCCTCACCCATGGATCCGTTGAATCGAAAATCACAGTCGCTCCTACGCCATATGGATCCGGCTCCAAGACCACGTCACAGAGTCTCCCATGCCTCTCCCCTGAGAGACTAGAGCACTTTGCGAATTCCGCACTCTATCGTGATATGGAGAGTAGAGAGCCATGAAACATAAGATCTTCATTGTGAAGCGACTGAGAAACAAAGTGATTCCTGAAAAAAGAAAGGAGAAAGCGACATAGAAAAGTATGGCCTAGCAACGCAACAGCGCAATGTTGCAGGAGACGTGGGTACTTTTGCCGAAGGAATCCAAGGGCGTAGTGCCAAGACTTATGACAAGTCCGTGTGAAACCCCGCGATTATCAGAACAACACAACACACTTCGTACTCTACAGTCTCTGAGCCAACAGCAGCCATTATTTCCTTCTTTACCTTCTTCCCATCTGTACAAGACCCTCAAAAATGGCCACCGACGTCGCGAGTAAAGACATTGCGAGCACCGAGGAGCACGAACGGGCCGCTTATCTCCTGGATGCACAGACCAAGGCCCTCCGGCTCTTCGAGGAAATTGAACGAGATCTGATTCGCCCCGGCATCACCGAAAAAACCCTGAGCAACGAGATTCATGATCTTGGCAACAAACGCCACGGCGTCCGTACGCACTGGCACAAACGGGTTGTCAGAAGCGGGCCCAACACCTTGAAGCCCTATGCCGAAAACCCTCCGGACCGCATCATCCAGCCCGATGACATCCTCTTTGTCGATCTAGGCCCGGTATTCGAGGCGTGGGAAGCCGACTTTGGGCGCACGTTCGTACTCGGAGACGACCCCACCAAGAAGAAACTGCGCGACTCGCTTGAGCCTGTATGGGATGCGGTCAAGGCCCGCTTCCTGGATGACCCGGATATGACGGGCGATCAGCTGTATGGTATCGCCTGCGATTTGGCCAAGGAAGCTGGGTGGGAGTTCGGCGGCCAGATTGCTGGACATCTAGTTGGCTTATTCCCTCATGAACGTATTCCGAACGACAAGATCACGCTATACATCACCAAGGGAAATCAGGAACGGATGAGCCGTGTCGATGGTAATGGGAAGAAGCGGCACTGGATTCTGGAGATCCATCTTGTGGACCGCGAGCGCGAGATAGGCGCGTTTTACGAGCAACTCCTCACAGTGGACTAATGTTGACATGCTAAAATGGTTCTCGCGGGTAGTTGACTGTAAAAAGAGAACACTAGGCCGGCGCCAGTTATACCAAATCCGCGTATCAACCTGGTCTGTGACTACTGCAAATCCTTACATTAGGATTGATCCTTTCATTCTTAGCCAGTCAAAGCCACTCCAACCCGGTTCTAACCAGACGCTTCTTTAACCATGCCGAGTATAGGCAGAGGACATCGCAGACAAATATTCGTAGGATTGATGAGGGGCGATTATGGATGAGAATCTAAACGCCGCTGACAAGGCCATCGGGAGAGCCGTGGCGACTTAGGGAGGGATGATTTGCTTTGCTACCTCAACTACGCTGCGTCTAATGCCTGGCTCTCATCAACCAAATCAGCAGCATTGCACCGAGGAGCTCTTGCTTTCCCATTACACCAGCTCAAAAACTTCAACTGTTGGCTTCCCCTCCAGAAGCTCACCGTCCATCACGCCATGAATGTAGGCGTCACCAATAAGGATCCGTCTCCCGGTACTTTCGGTCCTCAGAACATAGGGCACTGCGGCACCGAGAACTACTACAGCTTCATCCCCTTCTTTCAAACCGTTTGGACCAACGCCAACATAACCATTCTCAGTTATGAATGGCCTTCGACCGGCGTTATGCGCAAGTATACCCATATAATTGTTGAATTGGCCCATATTGCTCTTCAATGCCATAGCGAAAGAAGCCGCGCCTGTCGTAGATCCGTTCTCCATTGCTTCCATCACGGCATAATATGCGCGTATCACTGCTAGTAGGCTCTCGCAGATAATCTTGCTCTGCGTCGTCGCACGCGTGACGTTGCCTGACTCGGGTGATTCCTCCTTATCCGCAACAGGGATTCGATACTGAAGAGATGAGCCCTTTTTGCCAAGTGCGGCTGAGAGGCTGAGAAAAAGAAACGGAGTTGGCATTGAAGAGTTCTGGTTGTTTGTTTAAGAAACTCACTCCTATAGCACGATATATAAGTGCATCGGGTACCGACTTCCTGGTTTATCGTGAAGCAAGAGGAAAACTTGGCCTTCAATCTTCGCGGGATTCGCTGGCCCATACATTCTACGGATCGTGTTGTCTTCCCGGAAATATAGTTGGTGCTGTCCCCGTCTTCGAGCTATCTTGCGGTATAGAGCAGGAGGGCATTACAATAGTATAGTTGAATGTATGGGAGCGCGTTCATATTCAGTTTGATATCACGTGATTGCTCGGTACAGCCTCTCTTCACGCCCGGTGGTCACCCTCTAATATCAAGCCACAAACTTACCGTATAAGGGAACAGCTCTAGGTGCCTTTAGGGGGGGAAAGCAGCCTTTTAGCCTATCAATCCTCAAGCCGGCTAAGTACTAGCCTAGAAAAGAGGTATACCAGGATCGACTCAGTTTAGCGCTAGACCACCGGCCGTGAAGAGAGGCTGTAATAATACCACATTCCGTGCGAATACACACGACCACGTGGCGTTGCCACTACAGGACTTCTTTGCGTCCGATAACCAAGCGCTAAAATCAAGCTACAAATTACTGAAAAGGGTAGCATTTCCGGACGCCTTTAAGGTGGAATAGCAGCCTCCTAGCCAATCGATCTTCAAGCTAGTTCAACATTAGCCCAGAAAAGGCGGCTTACCGGGATCGACTCAGTTTTCGCGCTAGGTCACCGGACGCAAAGAGATCCTGTATCAACTAAAACAGCAAATTATTTCCGTGGGACCTTGTCCGTTTCGCTTGCTACATGCATCTAGCTGAATGTAGTTCGATGCACCAGCCAATGAGCGCTCACTACTCCCCACCAATATGAATATCTGGCGTAGAGAAAGCAGCTCGCTTCGCTTCATCTTTCAGCTCTCTCTATTGTAGTGGGGTATAACCTCCAGGGCAGGCTGTTATCCGCCCCCACCTTGACCGGAAGCTAGGTGGGCTGACAGCTGTCAAAGACGTTTGCGGAAGTGTGGCGCTACATGCGTTGAGCTGAATGTATGCGCCAGCCAATGAGCGCTTACTGGTCTCCACCAACATGAATATCTGGCTGAGAGGAAGCAGCTCGCTTCGGCGAGCATCGGTCCATAACTACATATCAAGATTCTGCGAGCTACGCCCAACGACCCCGTCTTACCCGACCTTTGCACTGTCTGGCCGACGTCTAGGGATGGCGAAGATCTTGCCTTGGTGAGCTGGTGGTGTGCTGGATATGGGCATCTAGATGTCCAAATGGTGGACCCATATAGATAAGTATGTAGCCTGAGTCTTCATTCTGCTAAAAACACAGCAGCATCTATTATTGAAGAGATAAAAGTCCGCATCGCTATTCTTCCAAGAACATGGACGCCAAAGCCGCTCTCCACGATGTTTCCGAGCAGCAGTTGCCGGTGACAGAGACAACGGCCCTTTCAGAGTCACCTACCAGCACTCAAGAGAGCAAGCGAAGATTCCCCCCACCCGCAAAGGCGTGGATCATCCTGTTATTCCACGGAGCGTGTTGCGTCGCACTTGCGTTGGCCATGGCACTTGCCCTAGACGGATACCAGGCAGGAGACGAGTCGAGCCCACATCATGTCGAAGGCAAGCTACTTCTTCGAGTTGGCGACATAACAACGCTGGTTTCCGTCGCCCTGGTAGTCATCAAGGTCATTGTTGGCGCGTGGTCTACTATCGTCTTATGGGCCTTTGGCCGAAATATGTTAACCCGGAAGAGCGCGTCCCCTGCCACGGTGTCGAAGATGATCCGATGGCGTTTACCACCTGGGTTCCAGAGTCTGAAGTATATACCGAGAGATTTCCCCGGTTGGACGATATCGGCTGCAGTCGTCGCCGTCTTTATCCAAGCCTTCATCAGCCCTATCCTGACTGGCGCAGTCAACTGGAATGCGGCCTTTCATATTTCCAAGGAGGCCACCTCCCTGAGTTCGGTTGACCCGACGGCAGACTTCAGCGCCTGGTATTGGTACAACGCCCAAGGGTCTTTCGATAAGAAGGCATACCTGAGGGCTGCGGCAGGGTTTGCTAACTTGGCTTGGGCGGACACATCCACCGTGGACGCCCAAGGCAAGTCGCTGCTGGGAAACGGATGCCGCCATGTTGTCAATGACGACGGGCTACCCCGGCACTCGGTCGTAGTCGACGCAACTCTTCCGTGCATCAATATCAACAGCATTCGCTGGTATCGCAACGAGGACGAGGTGACTGGGAACGAGTGGTCCATCAGCGGCGATGATCTGACCTTGGTCGGCGACGATCCGTTCGGATATTATCGTGGAGGCGTTACGCTCGTGTACGACACGAACAATCTGCGGAAATCTCCAGCTACCACTGATCAGCCACCACCTGCCAACAAATTCTCCGGCACCATGACAGTGGCCCTCATGATCGCCCGGCGACATTATGGCAAGGACTACACAGACCCGCCCTGTGCTAAGCTCCCCAACACGATATTCGGCGACATAAGTCCCTTACCTTACCTTCTAGAGACCACGCGCAGTACCTCCGCCGACGAGAACTGCTTTCTGCTCGGCAAGATCGACTTCACTGCAGGCGTGACGACGAGCAGCCGCGCCACATACATCGCCCCCCGCATCGTCGAGGACGTGACGCCGATCCAAGACGTGGTGTACGAGGCCAACTCATGGACGCAGGAGGCTATCTGGCTGCTGCCCGATCTAATGACCATGCTTGCGGTGTCGAACGCGTCGCAGCTGCCGACTTTCAACAACATCGATAACTACGTTAGTGGCATCGTCCACCAAGGTTACCTCGGCGCGTGGGATATGCTAAGTCATAGCTTCGATAACAAGGGGCCGGTATACAAGGGCTATCCGGCGGACCCGAGACTTGTTGCTGATGTTAGCTTTGCACGCGTGTTTGCTTGGTTGGGGGTATGTTTGTTCATGACGGTGTCTGGCGTCTTTGCGCTGGGGTTGGTTTTGAAGGCGGATGACTTGACGCCGCTTGAGGGGAATGAGGAGGAGATGAAGGAAGGAGGACGGGGCATTCTTGATGAGATCATGGGTTGGCGCTTTGGTTGAAGCTGGTAGAGGCTGAGTGTACCAACTGTTGAGATTCGCGAACTTGTCGTAACATCATCACCAAGCTTGACTTGATATCGTATCAAGCTTTTTGCTAGGACAGCCATTCATGTTGGCAAATGCCTCCGCATTAACCCTAGCTCCAAGAGATATGTGCATGGCACGGAGCTTGTAGATGGAATTGATGATGTTGGTGTTTTGAGAGATGAATCTTCGAGGAATCGTGATAGCTAGGGGTAGAAATATGCCCGGCCTAAGCGAGTCACGTGACTAGTCGAGGCTTCCCAGGCTTCTCGCCTGCGAATAGCACCTAGCCTAAGGATGCATGAAGGATGCACCTAGGCTACATCATAACTATATACTGTAAATGTTCACACTGGCACTTCGTCAGGCGGGGTCTCCCAGAGCTATATTTTCTCCAGATCGCTGCTATGCCCCTAGAAATCTTAGTCCTGGCTTTCTATATTCCGGAGGCTATTTCCTACTAGTAGTAAGCTTGCGCTATGGAGCAATAGGACGTTGTAATGCTATAATTAAATGACTAGGAACGCTATTATGTTCGCTTTGTTATCACGTGATCTGTTGGTATCTCTTGCCGCCGCTCTTTTGGTCGCACATCTGGTCTCTCACTGCGGTTCACAGCTACATAGCGTTGCCAATGTTGGAATAGTATCTTACTCCGTGGGGAGAGAAAGCTATTATCAAGTTCTTATTGCTCAGGAGTTGGATTTTAATATTTTCCCAGCATTTGTAGGAGATGTCAGCCACTGTAAATAAATTACACTGTAATGATTATGTGGGACGTACGGGCTGTTTCGCACTAGCCGGTATTAGCTATCGCTTCGGTTGGAGGTACCGATCGGCGTGGCAAACTTGCATGAATTTGCTTGCGATAGCAGCCACAAGGCTGATGACGGTTTCCTAGCATGGTAGTGAGGCTCTGAGGCTCGGGTAAGGCCCTTTTATGAGCATCAGGATTGATAAGTGCTTGATGGTGGTGCTGTGGCGACGGAATTCGATTACGCCATGAAAGGAAGCTCTCCGCAAATCAGGCGCGAAGGCGGCGATGCGAACGTAATTTTTAGGTGGGAGATGTTCTGAGTGTTCAGGGGTGGCTATACCTCCTAGTACTCGACTTATATAGAACTGTGGGAAATATTGATGTGTGCGCAGAGTCTGAGTTGCCAGAAGTTAATGCACCCATCGTTTTTCTCGCCACGGTGGGTTTCTCGCCACCCAGGGACGGACGTTAAGTTAGTGATAACGTACTCCACAAGCGAGCGGCCCACCCAAGCGAGTGGCCCACCTCATCACCGGAACGCGCTCCGTTAACTTTCAACCACCATGCCTCAACAACGCAATACGCAATCAATTCAAAAAGAAGGCCAGATATGCATAGCTATCTCAGCAATCGATAAAAAGCAGTTTAAGAGCGTGCGACGCGCTGTTGCAACATACAACGTCCCCTGAACAACCCTACGACGACGACGCGCCGGAACAACCGCCCGACGCGATTGCGAGCCCAATTCAAAGAAGCTTACAAAGCTGGAGGAATTAGTTGTTATTCAACATATAATTGACCTGGATTCGAGAGGGTTTGCACCGCGGCTGAGCGCTGTACAAGATATGGCCAATAAGCTGCTAAATGAGCGCGGTGCCGGCCAGGTTGGCAAGAACTGGCCATACAACTTTGTCAAGCGGACTGATGAGCTTTAAACACGGTTTAATCGAAAGTACGATCACCAGAGAGCCCTATGCGAAGATCCAAGGATTATTGCGCCGTGGTTTTGAGCTTGTGCGCAATACAAAGGCGAAGTACGGTATTACGGATGACGACTCCTATAACTTTGATGAAACCGGCTTCCAGATAGGTGTTATCTCAACAGGAGTAGTTGTTACAGGCTCCGAGAGACGGAATCGACCAAAAGCTATACAACCAGGCGATCGCGAGTGGGCCACCGTAATCAAGGCCATCAACGCTTGTGGGTGGGCAATCCCGCCGTTCATCATCCTTGCGGGCAAATACCACCTCTCTGCATGGTACGAGGGCAGCGATATACCGCCAGACTGGGCTATAGCAGTAAGCGACAACGGCTGGACGACAAATAAGCTTGGTGTTGCATGGCTGCAACATTTCAATACGCATACAAAGGACCGCACCGTAGGCGCATATCGCTTGCTCATTTTGGACGGTCATGAGAGCCACAACTCGCTCGAATTTAAAGAGCTTTGCAAGGAGAACAATATCATCACGCTATGTATGCCGCCGCACGCCTCGCATCTATTGCAGCCGCTTGATGTAGGCTGTTTTGCGCCGTTGAAAAAAGCGTACAGTCGCCAAATTGAGGATCTAGCGCGCAACCACATCAACCACATCACGAAGCTTGAGTTCCTACCAGCTTTTAAAGCAGCATTTGACAACTCGTTTACAAAGAGCAATATTTGCGCAAGCTTTCGAGGCGCCGGCCTTGTGCCGCTTGATCCAGAGGTAGTGCTCTTAAAGCTTGATGTTGTGCTTCGTACGCCGTCGCCTCCCGCCGTGGAGGCTCAATGGGAATTAAAAACACCAAGCAATGCTCTTGAGCTAGGCTCTCAGTCAGCTTTGATTCGTAATCGCATTCAAATGCATCAACATAGCTCTCCTACTGCGATTCTTGAGTCGCTTGATTCGCTTGTTAGAGGCGCTGAGATGCAGATGCATAGGGCTGTGTTATTGCGCGATCAGGTTACAAGCCTTTAAAAGGCGAATGAGGCCGCCACAAAGCGTAGAGAGCGCAAAAGAAAGCGAATTCAGAGGCAAGGAGTCCTAACAAAGGCACAGGGCTCTAATATAATCGCTCAAAAGGAAGCTAATGAATAAATTGAGGGGGAAATGCGTTAAAATAGGAGGCGCCCGGGTGGAAGTGCACGGCAGCAGGCGCGCTGCAGGCGCTGCGGCGAGACAGGACATAACTCTCGTACGTGTCAAAAAGATAAGGAAATTGTTGTAGATTAGACTGCAGGTCGTATTAAGTTAATATCTATTGGCGTTGTGGAGCAATTTGCATTTAATGTTGCGATTTGCTTGTGAGGTGGGCCACTCGCTTGGGTGGGCCGCTCGCTTGTGGAGTACGTTACAGTTAGGGGAAAGTCTCCACGGCAGGTCTTGGATATTTTTGTTCATCCCGCTCATTCTATGTCTCTGATGTATCGCACCCCCGAAGAGAAAAATGCGCGGCCGTCCAGATATTATACAGCGGTGCTTACAATCACACTCAAAGTATGCAGCTCCTCACTATCGCAGTTCGGCACGACCAGCTCTGCCCCGTTGAACCCTGTAGCACGCAACACCTCATCCCACTGGGGCACGCTCAAGCACGGCGTAAGCTGTCGCGTTTCCTCCTCGCCCAACCACCAGCCCGGCAGCGTCCCGAAAATGAACGATACGTCCAGCGCTTCCCGCGTTCCTTCGACCATGACCACCTTTCCGCCTGGCCTTAGTAACTCGCGAGCGTGCTCCATCGTGCGCGTCATGTTCTTCGTGGCGTGCAAACACTGGCTCGCGATTATTAGGTCGTAGGTTCCGACCTTGAAGTTTTGTTTCGATGGCAGTGTCTCCATGTCCAGTTTCTGGAATGTCATCATTGAGGCGAAGTCTTTGAATCGCGCCTTTGCTTCTTTGAAGAAGCCGGCCGAGATGTCGGTATATGTATAGTGAACCCGATCTGCTACGGAACCTCGTTGTTTCGCGTACTCTCCGATTGCACGAAATGCGGCTCTGGTGGTGCCACCGGTACCGGCGCCGACCTCGAGGATGTTGAGTTTCTGCTTCGCGGTTTCGAGCGAGTGCCGGACGAAAATTTCGATTTGCGGAAAGCATGGCGATGTGTGGATGTTTTGCGGGTAGTAGTCGAACAGTAGCTTGTCTTGAAGCATCAGCTGCAGCGGTTGTTTCTGACCGCGCATGATGGGGAGGATGTCGTGACCAATGCGGCTCAACATGAGTCCATCGACGCCAGTGCTGGAGAGATCTACTTCTAGCGATGTGATGTCCTCGTCGGGGATCTCGTCGGATTGGGTTTCGCGGGCTTTCTGCTGAGCCCATTGGTAAAAGCGCTGGAAATGCGCCTCGAGTCTGCGGGCTTCCGTTTCAGTCACACTTGTCACTACCTGGCGCACATAGAGATGCACGAGCGTGTTCAGCTGTTGCCTAAGACAAAGTTCAACATCGGAAGCTGTGCGGCTCATTGCAGAACCGAGTTGTTCTAAAGTTGATGTTGCGTATTCGGGCTGCCACCGAGGTCTTGACAAATGCTGGTGGTCTGGGTTAGACCAAGCTGCGAAGACCTCGTCTTTACCCATAATCGCTGCACACAGCAGTTCTCCGAGGATTTTAGCCTAGCGTTGAATTAGCATGAAACCACCAAAGAGCCATTTACACTTACATTTTGGGCATGTAGAATACTGAAGTGATTGCCGGATGTCGCAGCTAGGCGAATGTTCTCCGAAGCGATGAGTTGCGTCCAACCATGAGGCCTCGGAAGGCCTCTATTCCCGGCAAAAAACTTCTCGATTCCTTGATTGCTCTCGTCCTGCGAGAACAGTGCATGCCTCAGCTCATCTATGCCTTCAGATGCCCAAATCAGATATAATTTTGGCTGTGATGTACACTTCACTTCCGTAGGCCTGTAAGCTTGAATTGCTTGTATTGACGTCCGAAAGTGGTCAAGAAGCCAGGCCGGGGTCTCTTTGCTACCGTTGCCTGTGACATCTATACCGCCAGCGATCAGGTCAAGCGCACCTGCAGGGAACGCATCATAGGTAGACCGAGACGGCACATCGATCAAGATCAGCGTTTCCACAGATTGGCCACGATTCATGAGTGTTTTGGCGGCTTCATACGCATAATAGCCGCCGCTGGAATATCCACTCAGAACATAGGGTCCTTCTGGTTGGTACGCTTGTAGCTCGTCCACCCAGACACCAACGATTTCTTCGACTGTAGCACCGTCTACGACACCTTTTTTAAGATACGGGCTATTAAAACCAATGATACATATCGATTTGTCGATAAGAGGTAACTGCGCATACACACTAGCAGAACCAGTACCATCAGGGAAAAGAAAAGTCTTCTTCTGGGGGCTTCCGGGATTCCCTTGAAGCACAGAAGCAAGCTTTTGGCCGCTGATGACTTTGGTTGACTTCTTCACTGTGTCCTTCGGCCCAGGTGTCGTGATCAAGCCTGTAACTTCAAGCTTTGATGGTTTTGGGAAAAGCGTTTCCTCGACGAGCTGCAATGTGTTTGCTGATGAGAAAAAAGCCGAGTCCAGGTCAAACCCGAGATTGGAGCGTAATTGATCAACTATTTCAATGCTCATCAAGGAGTCTAGACCTAGGTCGAGCAAATCATCAGATGGTGACAGCTCGGATGGATTCACCCCCATTTGTTCCGCAACGAGGTTGCGTATTTGTTCCATTTGCTGAGATTTCTCGACAGTCGCCTTCTGCACCTCACTTGGGACTGCTGTGGCAGTCGTTGTGCGACTGACTGTCTCCTTTGGGGGTAGCTTTCCCTGCTTCCTGACTTGCTTTCGATCGCGAGACTGAGCCGGCACGGGCAAACTCTTTTGAATGAACATCTCCAATGAGCTGTACGTAGGGCAGGTTGTGAATAGATCCGGTGAAAGAGAGTCTAGCTTGTACTCATCGCGTAATCGGTCACCGAGCGTGAGGGCGAGTAAAGAATCGATTCCCATGTCGGCGAGTTCAGTATCGGCATCAATATCTTCTTCAGCAACTCCCGTTTCATCGTACAATATTTGCTTCAGGTTGACCATTGGCATTGGGAAGTCGTCCCCAACTTCACTTGACTCGTCGTCGCTTACAGTGACATCACTCTCGTCCAAGGGAGGTGTAGACTGGCCAGATTTTACTGGTGGTGGGGTGGTACGGTACCGCTCTTCGCTCCGTTGGACACCCGGGGGCAATATCTTGTTTGCCACCGATCGTGGTATCTTGTGAAATTTGAGGCCATCCAGTTTCCCTACAATTCGATCATTCAAAATCACATAGCAGTCAGCAGTCACAGTTGACCCGTGGTCTTGCAACTTGACATAGCTCTTGTAGTTGGCCGTGGGGTCGATTGGATCCGCAAGGCGATAATTCGCCCACCCAGGTGACAGGTACACAACCTTGCCGCTATTCTCTCGCAGGCCATTCACGAGAAAACCGGCAAGATGAGCCGTGCCGTCCATCCAATAAGGACAGCAGACATAGCCGTTGCAGTCGCTACCCTGGTAGAGTTTAATGGTAGCCATTCCTTCTAGTTGCGTTTCATCGGCGATGATTTCTTTCATACTTCGATACTTCTCGCCATAGACCAAGACACTGTCAAACAGTCGATAGGCGAGTTCCGAGCGCAACTTTTGTGACAGTCCTCGAAAGAGTTTTGCCTCTAAGCGGTGCATATCCTCAAGGACAGTCTCCTGCACAGCGGACCACTCGGAAAGCCAGTCTTGCCTTTTTTCAAAGCCGATTTGACATCGTGCATGGACTTGCGAGCCCTTAGGTCCCGTTGTTTCGAAGCGCACCTTCGTACACTTATCGAGCAGGTCCGTATTTGAAACAATGCGCATCACTAGGGTTTGTCCATCCCGATTGTGTGGTGCAATGATCGTTTTATCGATCTGCAGCAGAGAAACGTAGGCCCGGTAGCCGGCTTGAAGTTCGATCTCACTCTGCCGCAGATGTTCTCCGATCGCCAGTGCAACGTCGGTGTATAGGCCCTACGAATGCAGTTAGTAATGGTCTGAAAGGTCAGTTGCAAGCTACTCACGGCTGGACAGAGATAGGAATCGTTCATCATATGCCCCTGCATGACTTCGTAAAGATGAGGGTGCAGAAGATCCGTCTCGAAGATGAGCATGAGAAAGCCATCTTGCTCAGATCGAGACAAGAGCTTGTGCAGCGACTTGAACGGGAGGTCGACATTTAGTGCAGATGCGTTCTGCTGCAGCGGTGCTGTGTCCGGCAAAGATTTCGCAGCTGAGGCTGGACTGCTGTGCTGGACTTGCGGCAACCAGTAATGTTGTTCGTCCAGTGCATAGGACGGCAGGCTTGGCAGGTGCCGTAATCCCTCTTGGCCGCGATGGAACTCTTTCCAGTTGACCGTGTGGCCGGCATTGTACAGACTCACAAGCATCTTCCCCGCCGTCGACCAGACACTGGCATCTTTTCTCATCAACGGCAAGTTGGCTTCCACAAGACTCAGGCTTGACTTGATCATGGGGCTGCATATGACATGCGGTCCAACCTCAACCCAGATCGACTGCGCTTCTTTCTCCGCCCTCAAGGCATCCGAGAATTTGGCACTCCCTCGCGTATGTCGCTTGAAGAAGTCCGATCCGAGTTCGTTGGCCGACGTTACCACTGTGCCTACCGTAGGCGATAGCAGCGGCGTCCGAGGATCGTTGAACTTGATGCAACGCTGAGCTGTGATGAGATCGTCGCCCAGAACATCCATTTGGGACGAATGGAACGCAAACGGCGTGTCGATGCGCGAACACTGGATGTTTACGCTCTTCAATTGTCTCTCTACGCTTTCGAGCCGGGGGACCGACCCGGATAGAACGATGTCCGTTGGACTGTTGTAACAGGCGACCTCAACCCCCGATTCCTCAAGGCTCAAGTGCCTTTCGACCTCTTTCAGGGATACTCGCACAGCCAGCATACCATGAGTGTTGACCTGGCATCTTTGTTCCAATGCGGTTGCACGCAACCCAGTAATGTAAAGCAGATCGTCCGTCGAGATGACGCCACTGGCGCAAAGGGCTACATATTCTCCAAGACTATGGCCTGTGACAGCAGCTGCGACAACTCCCCAGGATGTGGCAAGCCGATACATTGCGATTTGAGAAATCACATAGCCCAGTTGCCTTTGTAGAAACGAGAGATTCTGGTCGTTGCTGTCAACAAAATAAGCTTTTGTCGATGTATAGCCCAGTCTTTCAACGCTTTGGTCGAGTCCGAGTACTTCAGTCCGAAAAAGTTTGGACGTTTCGAAGAGCTCTCCCAAAGCTGAAGGCCGCAAGTTGGTGTACCCAGTGAATACCACCTTGGTGCTTGCGGGCTTGGGGGGTTTATTGGTGTGGGCCTGCAACTTCGACCTTAATTGCTTCTCCAGGTCTTTCTGGTCTGACACTACAAGACCGCATCGGAAGTCGAAGTGTGGACGGCGCACAGTGGTGGTGTACGAGATACTCGGTAGATCAAGGCCCAGTTGTTTTGTGTTCCAGTCGATGAGAGATTGCATATTAGCCTTCATCCCTTGTTCTGTCTTTCCACTGACCACAATGACTGCCGGCCTCGCTTGATCGCTTGTAGCTACTCGCTGCCTGGGAGGAGCTTCCTCCAGGATCATTGACGTGTTTCCACCAGCTGCCGAAAAATTGCTGATGAGGACGCGGCGAAGGCCTTCACACGATTCTGCTGGCGCATCCCAGTCTTGTAAACGAGACGCAATGCGCACATTGCGCGCATCTATATCAGGAACGCGCCTTCTGATGCCTGACTTGATACCAATATGAGGCGGGATCTTTTTCTCCCGCAGCATCAGGAGACACTTCACCAGGGACGTGATGCCGCTGGCACCTTCCCCGTGACCCACGTTTGCTTTTGCAGAACCGACATACAGCGGATTTCGATCGCTTCTCCGCTCCGGAGCCAGCACACTTGACACGGAACCCAGCTCCACCGTGTCTCCAGCTTGAGTGCCTGTACCGTGCATCTCTGCGTAGCTAATATCTTCTGGTCTCAAGCCCGCCTTTGATAGGATCCTGCGAAAGAGTCTCTCTTGTGTCGCTCCATGTGGTCTTGTAATCGATTCCGAGCTGCTGGAGTGGTTTGTTGAGATTGCGCGTATCACGCCGAGGATATGGTCATCATCAGCAACAGCATCAGTCAACCTCTTGACCAATATGGTTGCGACGGCCTCTCCGCGACAATAGCCGTCAGCATGCTCATCAAATGTCTTACACTGGCCAGTTTTGGAGAGGAAGTGCCCCAGGTCTAAACCTTTGTAGCTGTAAGGAGCTGCTAAGATATTGGAGCCTACGACAATCGCGGTGGCGCAGTCATGGTTCCAAAGACTGTTGCATGCATGGTTCAAAGCTACCATACTGGAAGAGCATGCAGTATCGAACGATACTGCTGGCCCGTCGAATCCGTATATGAAGTTAACTTTGCCCTAAAACTCGTTAATGAGGGCACCGTGGCATGAGCACAGAATCACCTACCGGACCAAAGGCCCTTGAGCTACCGGGAATGTAATATGGATCTACATGCTGACTCATATATTCCTCCTTGTACTCTTCAGTTGCGCTGCCCCAGAAAGTACCGATCTCGGAAGAATCCGTGGATAATGTGCTATCTTGCACGAATCCAGCCATATCCATGGCCTCTTGAACAGTTGTGAGCCCCAATCGGTGGGCTGGATCAGTGTTGATTGCCTCTCTGGGAGACATGTGAAAGAAGCGTGGGTCAAACATCCCCGGTTCATCTATGAAACAACCCCATATCTTCCTGTCTTTGAAGTGACGAGACTTGTCAAAACGCTGGATAGGCACCTCTTGCACAGTATCGACGCCTTCTTCGAGCAATTTCCAAAATTCGTCAGTATTCCGCGCAGAAGGGAAACGTCCGGCCATTCCGATAATCGCCAGAGGTACATTTTGACTTGGTCGCTCATTCTCGTCCACTCTGCCCGAGTCACAATCGAACGTTACGTCTTCAACGCCCATCTTCTGAAGACCGCTAGCGAAGAATTTTCCTTGAAGCTCCGGCCCAAATGTCTGTACACGACAGGAAGATTTGGACTTCTCTTCTTGCCTCAATACAGCTTTGCAATGAGCGAGCATAGATTCCCAATCCACCGGTTTCGCCAGAATTTCGAACAGTACGTCCTCGAAGAATTTGTTTCCAGTATCTGAGTTCTCGGGGCTGAGGATACTTTCAGGGATCAGGCACTTTCGTTGGTTTGAGACTCGGTGCGAATCATATACAAGGGACAATCCGTCCTGCCTCAACAACTCAGCAACTTGCGTTCTTGAAAATAAGTCTTTCGCGTGATATGGCGCGTAAATTGGGAGTCGACGTAGAATAGAAGTTTTCCCAGTATTGGGAAGCGACATGAGGTGAGTTGCGATCTGTTCAAGACTGGATGGCGGTCCACCTATACTGATCGTGGTGTTTCCGAACGCAGATATCCATGCTCGCTTGTGAGGAGGTATTTTCTGCGCAAGTAGTCAGATACTCTCCATGAAAAATGCAATGTTAAATAAGATGACCTGACACAGCAATTAGGTAGCCTACCAGATTATCCTGAAGCGTCGCGAGGTCCTGCTCATCGCCAAGTCCCATACTAGCTGGAACGGACATTGCCCAACTCCCACCATCAGGATCTTTTAATTCAATGCTGTTCCCAACAATTTCAGTGAGAATGCCGGTTCTGAATGCTAATACAGTTGCCTTGACAGCCAAGGGTATCAGATCAGAAAGTGATACTGATAAAGATACGGCAGCAGCAGCAAGCTGCCCTACACATGTGCCGACGCAGATACTACCTTCAGCATCTGGATATGGAACTTTGGATTCTTGTTCGTGTGCACTATAAACTCGACTTAGCATTGATTCTTGACGTATTATCAAAAGAAATCAACGCTTACTTGATGAAGTAGGCCAACTGGACGAAAACGACCTCCGCCAGATGCAATGCGGGATGCTGGCCATCACCCTCAATGTGACCACCTTTCAAGTCGTCAAGGGCGCGAAAGTCGGGAAATGCAGCTTGTTGAATAGAGGGTAATCGAGAAACCTCTTCCTGCAAAGCGAGTCGAACATCCTCCTGGAACTGGCAAAGCAAAGGCCCCTGGCCCTTCCCTTTCTTCAGAATTGCGTCCAGGAGAAAACTCGTCTCTTGCGAGCTGTCTCCAAAAAATAGTATTCTCTTACTCATCATGCTGAAATGTTGAATCCTTGCTGCCAGTAACCTGGTGGACTCTCTAGGTACGCGGATGCGCCCTTGATATACTCAAGTGACTTCCTCCATTTGGTCATCCGAATGACCATCCCGACTGGAGTTTGGCTATGATAAAGTCGTTGATGCGATTCGTTACCTCAGAAATAACCAGGGTTATCGTGATAACATGGTCACAACACTCCATCTAGGGCTTGCCTCGATGATCACTCTGTTCTAGGGCCGGATCCTGAGACCATGCACTGGAAATGCATGATTATACGGACATTTTACTTTCTGATTATTGTATTCTTATCGCAAGGATAAAGTGGGGGCAAAGCTGTTCAGGATTGTCAGTCAAAGTGACCGGAGAATCACCGTATTCTATTCGCCGGATCACTAACGCCACTACTTTGTATGCGTAGCTATTCTCCCCAAATGGCTAGACTACGGCAATCACGGCGGAGACGGATACGAGTTTTCTAAGTGTTGGGTGTCTGAGAGGGTGAGTTCAGGTATTCGTTTATGGCCAGAGGTATGCTTGTTAGGGTCATCAGTGTGTCATTCGAGACACCTAAAAACTAGCAAATCTTGGGAACTTGTGTCGCTGGTCGATATTGTGGAACAATTCTCGCATATCTCGCGTAGAACATCTTTGCTTTGAGGCGGGACTCTTTACTGTCAGTCGGAGATTTACGCCGGCTTGGAAGACGTCTCCGATCTCCACCCACACTTGAGAGGGACATCAAAGCGTATCATAAGCTTGGTATGGTTAAGCACAAGTATAATCTCATTGACTAATACTGCTGTGCGATCTAATATCTTATCGTCTTCCTAATTAGTCATCTAGCCCTGGCGGAACTCAAAGTCTATGAGAGAGAACATCGACCCTTCAGCCCCTTCTTTGGCTCCTGCAAAGTGGAACGAATCACTTGCTGCTGCAAATATAGCCTTGAACTGTTCAAGGGTTCGTTCATGTGCGCCGTGACCTGCAATCATGATCTGGTCCTCGACTCTGAAACACTGTCAGTCAGAGCACTAGAAGGTGATTAAAATGTCCTACCTTCTGCCTTCAAAATCCCACGCATTGGTCCGCAGTGCAGGCGCTGCAGGCATCAACGTCTCTGCAATCAACACATGCGCACCAGATTCAAGGGCTGGAAGCAAAGCCTGGAGAATTTTTATGCAGATATCATCTGGCCAGTCGTGTAAAATGCTCTTGAAGATGTATGCTTTGGCGGATATCTTCTGAGGCTTGAAAAAATCATGATGCGCAAAAGAAATGCGTGAGTCGAGTTGTAGCTGTTGGACGACTGCTTCACCTTCCTTGAGAGCTGCTGGTGCGATATCTTCACTCACGAGACGGAGAAAGGGGAAGGCCTGTGCTAAGATGATACTAGTGGACCCTGCAGAGCCTCCGACCTAGGATCTAGTTAGCGTCTTTATCTAGGCGAGTAAACTCTTACTCACATCGACAACTGTGCCGGAGCCTAGCGAATCCCAATCCCAAGCTCCAATCAAGAAATCAACGGACCAACAAGGGATCTTGGCGCGGGATCCCAAATACAGCGAGTACCGCTGGGCCGCATCGGTCCTTTTCTCGAAATACTCAAAAATGTCCACATATTCGGGAAAGGCAAGATTGGCCGCAGAGTCCGGGCCTTTCGGCCCATAGACCTGTTTTTTGTAAAGAGCCTCGGGGAGCTTTACAAGATGCGAGGAAATCTCGGCCGACCACATCAAGCAGTAGTTGTGAAGATCGCGGTCGGAGGCGAGTTTCGCAGAGCTAGCGGTGTGGCCGATCACGCTAATCGGATCCTCGTAAAAGATGCCGTTGGCGATGGCGTAGCGAATTACGCGGGTTGTTACGACGGCCGGTAAGCCTATCTCGGCCACTAAATCGTCCAGGTTACGAGTCTTGCCAAGAGGAATGCGCCGCGGAATTTCCAGTCGTATGAGACTGCCCAAATTGGCAACTTTGGCTGCGGACCTAAGAGATACACGCCCGGTCAGTGTTGCCTATTACTATTTCGAATGTTGTTGTTGTTGTTGCTGATAACGTACCAAGATAGAGAGCAGAGGTAGTCGATAGGACCCATGGTCAGTTGGGTTAAACCTTGTGTTGCATTGATCAAAGCATTGCGCGCTCGACGCAGCGCCTCAGTATTCGTGTTCTGGGAATGTCGGGAGTCGAAGTCGTGAGCGCTGTGCTCGCTGAACGAAGGCTGTGCCAAGCTTGCTTCATTCATGAGTTGTTCGAGCTCGGCTGCTTTGGAGGATACTTCCTTTGCAAGCTCTGAAATCGTGGCCATCGTGAATGGTGTCCGAACCGTTTCGCGAGTGGTTTAGTTGACCTGTAGCAACGTTGGGAATTACTCTTTGAAATAGCGAAGTTCGTCTAGTCCTCGGATTTTATGCGCCGTACGACTTGTAATAACGACTGAGCGTTTTGTGAAGTTTATCTCGTGTCGATCAACATGTGTTTATTACCCGTTTACCGCCCGTTTACATCCCGGCTCTCAACAGATACCAATCCATGGTCCTGCTCATGTACCAAAAGCCCAACGATAATGTCAACCACCTGAGCCATGCGCATGGTGGTACGATACCGTTCCTCCTATACCACCCCATGCCTACAAAGGCTTCCAGCTCCTCAGTTCTCTTGGGACGCCTTTGGTCTGCTCTCATACACAATGCCACTCAACGTCATCGTTATAGGTGCGGGCATAGCGGGTCTCACTGCGGCAACCTCGCTGTGTCAAGCGGGGCATTCGGTACAGGTAGCTTTGAACACTAGAACACAGTGTTTGAAGGCCAAAGGAGCTGACGAACCTTCAAGATCTTCGAAAAGTCGTCGTTCAAAACCGAAGTCGGCGCCGCACTAAACCTTCTCCCCAACGGAGCCATCGTGCTAAAGCATCTTGGGTTCGATTTTAAAAGAGCCTTGGTAAGGCGCCACGCAACGCTTGAAACCGTCAATGGCATTGACCTAGCATCCCTCACTCGAATCGACCTAAGTGATGTAGAGGACAAATACGGTGGTCATATGCAGTCGGTTCTTCGAGCAGATCTCCACTCAGAGCTACTACGCCTCTCGCAGCTCGCTCCGAATCCCGCCACTTTGCGACTTGGAAGTCCTATCAAACGTATCAATGCTGTCGAAGGGGTTGTCGAGCTGGAGTCTGGAGAAATTCACACAGCAGATTTGATTGTCGCAGCGGATGGCGCGCGGTCAATCTGCAGAAGCGAAGTGCTTGGCTTTGATCATCCACCCGCCGAGTCTGGAAACTATGCTTTTCGCTTCCTCGTACCCACGGCTGATATCAGGAACTTGAATGAGATCAGAGAAATGATCCCGGGGAAGCTGCACGGCGCCAGCATCTTGGCGGATGTCAGCGACAAACTCAAGACAAGGCACTTGGCGTGGTATGAATGCCACGGCGGTGAATTCCAGAACTTTGTGGGCATATATCCTGCCGCTCAGCATGTACAAGATGTGGGTAAGCTTACATTAGCTCTTTTTGTTATGGAAGTCGCTAATAGCTGTAGATAACCGGTCGCAACTCTTATCCCAATTCAAGCATTTTCACCCTCGCATTGTCGAGATACTGAGGTGCGCCCATAGCAACGTCGTCTCACTTACTTTGGCAAGACTAACGTTATCCAAGGCTTGCTGATGATGTGAAGGTCTGGCCACTTCGCTTTGATGACCCGCTACCAGAATACACTCGGGGCAGAGTGATCCTGATCGGAGACGCAGCGCATACTGTATAGTCTCACATCAAGTCCGAGATAGAACTGTACTCATCGTCGATAGATGCTCCCCTTCAGCGGCCAAGGAGCAAACTTAGCCATCGAGGAGTCGGGGTTGCTGGGAGAGTTCTTCAGGCATGCCAAGGCGGCTGAGATACCTGCTGAGGTGCAGCGATTCGGATCGGTCAGGAGGAAACGCGTCGTCACGATCAAGCTTCTCTCGCGGATCAGATTCGGTAAAGAGAACGATACAGCATACAGTCTCCTCGCGCACGACGAACTTGATAGTGCAGGTGAGTGTGATGGTGCCCACTCTGACGAGATACCTTCTGATGATGCAATAGATATTCCGCGTTCTTTCCATGAGCGTCTACTTTATGAGTGGAAGTATGAATCCAGCGTCTGATCTTGTCGCAGCCTTCTACTGACCCCTGAATTAGACATGATGTTTACGACGAGGTGGAAAAGTTAGGGCGAAAGTAGCCATGGTACTTGGTGAAAAGTCAGGATTCTATGAATAGCAGCAGCGTTCACCCCTCGCGACGAGACGGGTACTCGGGAAATAGGAAATAGTCGCTGGTAGCGGGCAACTTGTATTGCGTTTGACATTTCAGATACAAATACTACAAATGGAGTACTATCATGGGAACACCCTCTCTCACTGATAGAAAACGGGCTATACGTTCCAAGTCGTATTGGTCTGCGCCCGGGCAGCTCTTCTTACACAACGGCCGGGAAGTAAACAGATGCCAGCGGAAACGGTTCGAGGATGGGTCGTTTCTCGGCCGGAATGCACGTGCATCACCTCGAGCGCTTACATATATGTAAAATTGGACTGGAGAACAGCGGGAGGACCTGCAGGATGGGGGCATACCCTTGTACAGTAAGCCGTGGGCGGGTGGGGGGCATGCCTAATTAAGTGCCGCTTCGGCTCGTGCCGCTTCGGCTCGTGCCTTGCGGCCCGCGGGGAACATGGGAGGAGCAATCTGACCAATCAATACAGCCTCTGGAGTTTTACCCGATATTTCCGCCCCAAAAAAAAGTCGCCGGTGAATCACGTGCAGGGGAAAATAATCGCCGGGATCGCTTGGTAATCAACCTCTTCGAGCGAAGTTGGTAATACACCTCGTCGAACGAAGCTGCAGTCAATGCAGATAAGCCCTCGCAGACAGCAAATGCCGCTGCATCCCAGTCACATCAACCAGCGCAAACCACCTTCTCCCTACGAATCCTGCTGCATTTGCATTTACGGGCGAACTCGTATCTCTAGCTCAATCAGTGTCTGCAAGCCGCCGGAAAGCCTCGACCGCCGAACATGGCCTCAGCCAGCCCGCCAGATGGCAGCTCAGTCAACCCAGCCACTCCAGCCAAGACACACCATCCACCCATCCCCCTCTGGAAGCTCGTTACTTCGCAATCCGCCTTCACACCTGACGTGCTCGAACACACCTTTCCTGGGAGCGGAACCCCTGAGGACCCTTACCGTGTAGAATGGATCCCCGACGATTCTCGCAATCCTCTCATCATGCCACAATGGATCAAGTGGATGATCACCATTATCCAAGCTTTCGCCTTCCTGTCCATCACCTTCGCTTCGTCTGCCATGTCGGCCACCGACCCGCAGCTGGAAGAGCATTTTGGCGCCAGCAGCACCTTGGTGATAGCTGATACGTCGCTCTTCATCCTGGCTTTTGCCATTGGGCCAGCCGTGTGGGCGCCGCTTTCCGAACTATACGGACGACAGGTCGTATGCATGCTCACGTACGCCTTGGCGACTCTCTTCAGCGGTGCCGTCATCGCGAGCAAAAACATCGCCACTGTCTTAGTTCTGAGATTCTTCTCAGGCGCTTTCGGGGCGTCGGCAATCACGAACTCGGGCGGCGTCGTGTCGGACATGTTCACGGCCCGCGACCGTGCGGTTGCCATGCTTGCCTTCATCGGTGCTCCGTTCTTGGGTCCCAGTATCGCTCCGATAGCGTGCAATTATCTTGCCGTTGCCGCTGGATGGCAGTGGGTTGCTGCTTTGATCACTTTCTTTGTCGGAGCTGCCTTCGTTGGCGTTCTGTTCGTACCGGAGACATATCATCCAGTTCTGCTACGGCGCCGCGCAGCTAAGCTTAGCAAGATAACGGGAAAGGTTTACAAAAGCAAGCTGGATGACGGGACGAAGACTCCAGCGGTCGTCTTCAATACCGCTATGGTGAGACCTTGGGCTTTGCTGTTCAGGGAACCCATCGTTTTGTTCTTATCCCTGTACATGGCCATTAGTATGCAGTATTCTCGCTGACCTTCCCCTCTTTGCGCGCTAACACTGTTCTAGTTTACGGTACCATGTATATGGAATTCGCTGCCTTCCCTATCGTCTTCATCGGCTCTCGAGGATGGAGTCAGGCCAATTCTGGTCTGTCCTTTGTTGGAATGGGTATCGGGCAGATCATTGGAGTGGTTATCTCGTACTTCGACAATACGAGGTACAAGCGTGTGATCGACCGCTTACCCGAGGACACCACGGTGGCGCCGCCAGAAGCGCGACTATTTCCATCTCTGATTGGTGCCGTTCTGCTACCCATCGCACTGTTTGAATTCGCTTGGACAAATTACCCCAGTATCCATTGGATTGCCTGTCAGATTGGCACCGTAGGCCTCGGTATCTCACACGTCCTCATCTTCTTGAGTGTAGCAAACTACCTCGTCGATACGTATACTCTCTATGCTGCCTCGGCATTGGCTGCAAACACCATCATCCGAGCCCTTTTCGGCGCAGCCTTGTGAGTTGTAGCCCTCTCGACCCACAACGATCTTATGCTAACGAGCACCATAGTCCTTTGTTTACTACTCCAATGTATAATAGTCTTGGTATTCATTGGGGTTCGTCCATCCCTGCATTCTTGGCGCTGGTGTGCGCCCCGTTCCCTTATCTTTTCCATACATATGGGCCTAGAGTTCGCAGGCACTGTAGATACGCAGCTGAGTCAGCTCGTATCCTAGACGTGCTGCACAATAAGTCGAACAAGGCTCAGGAACCGAGTGGCAGCGAACTGGCTCAAACCGGGGAGAAGAAAGTCTGAGTACTTCTTCGAGTGTGCTGCTGAGCATCTTCGGAGTGGTCGGCGGACTCGATGGGGGATTGTGAGAGACTTTTTGGGCGATAAGAGGCGTGAACAACAATTGGGGCGTTCTCATGTCTTCTAAAAGCATGGCTGCATTGATTCATGACAGTCAAAGTAGTGCTTGACCAATCCAAAGCTCTAACTCTTAACTTCGGCCCTATCATTCTCCGTCATGTTACGGTTCTATAGACGTTTCAGACTCTTGATTGACTTCGTAAAAGAATTGTGGCCGTTCTATCAATGGTAGCATCTTAAGAAGATCAGCTTGAACCAAGAATTCCCTCCAGTCCATGCAAAAGCATTCCCATATGGCTGTCGAATCCATTCTCGGTGAGAAGGTCCCGCTTGTCTCCTTGGATAAGTTTATCAAATATTGCAATAGCTTCCGCCCTCCCTTTGTTGCCTTCAGTCTCTAGGCGTGCTGCAGCCTGCCGTTGTTGCAGACGCGTCTTCACATAAGCCAGTGCGGTTTCAATTCGTCGTACAGCCAGAATAATTAGCATCCTCGACGTGATTTTTTGCTCCTCCCCAGCGGCTTCATATTTGCCAATCGATACGCGCCAGTTGCTGCGGCATGTAGCGGCAGAATCTTCAACCGAGGAGCGTTGCTGGGTAGCTATTCGATCCATCCCAGCCACTGCTGCATTTGCAAAGGAGCACCGCAAAGCACGCAATAAAAATCGCATACTCATGACAAACATGAGAAAGATGCCCTCGGTGCTACCTTTGTCGCATGCGGTGCACTGACGTAGACTATCCCATTGCTCCATTGCGTCGCGGGCGGCTACGAGAGCGGTGTCGGGAGATGATTTTTTCTGCGCTTGCTCGACTTTGTCCATCCGGAAAAGTAATCTGACCTGTTTGTCTAGACACTCGCAAGTGGTTGTACCTGGCGAGTCCGTTGCATCTGGTGAAGACATTGAGACATTGTCCAGGAAGTTCTGCAAGTGCTGGGGAGTGAGACCGGCAGGAAATTGTGAAGTTCCGAACGCGTGACCGCTTCCTGTAGAAGACATGGCCAGTCCTGTAGCGGGAAAATTGTTGAATGAAGTTGTGTTTGACATTGTGCGTTCAAGGTTACCGTACGGGTCCTCAAAAGATGTGTCATTAGATCGACTGCGATCCGCTGGGGGGAGCTGTGAAGATGGCAATCCTGCCTGTCCATTGCTAGTCTGACTTGCCCTTCTATCAGAACTTGATTCCTCCCCATTAAGCAGGTCGAAGAAATCGATTGGGAGATTCCCCAAAACAGAAGCGGTTAATCCAGTGTCACTCCGGGTGCGTATCGGAGTCATAGTATTTCCAGGACTGCCATCTCTGATTCCTTCGAACGTCGGCATAGGTTGACCTAGCTGGCGTTGGTTTTGATACCGCTCGAGGTCTATCGAGTTTTGTATGTCCAGCCAAAGGTCTTGACGGCCACGATCGTACCTGATGTCAGCACCCTCTTGAGTCTGGCATCTCTCCAACGTTCGCTTGTTTTTGCTTCCCCTGGGTCTGCCGAGTCGAGATGGCTCGCTGTAAATGCACTGTCTTCCTCCCTCTACGCAAAAAGTGCAGGGCGTTCCCCCAGAGCATTTTGTCTTGCCTCGATGGCAACTATCGCAGGCTGTTCGGCGCTTTTGCGGCTTTTCTTGGTTCATGGTAGAGTCGAGGTTGGTGGCACAGTCGGGAATAATAGTGCTTTCGGGTAAGGTCCGGAGGTGGCCGCTGCTGGGAGGCAACGAGGCTACATCAGCTCAAAAACACAATAAGTGCATTGTGGTGGCTACTTTTAGGTGTCTGGCTCTGCCACAGCTCTGTACGGGCCCGAGCTGCTCGCCCTATTCCCGCTGACAAAGAACCGCGCACGTCCAGGCAGGCCGCAGTACCAGTATCGCATGCAGGGATAGGGATGACACGGACACGGACACGGCAGGGTATTGCGAAATATGCAAAATATGCGAAATATGCGAAGTACGTCATTTGTACACAGGGGTAGGCCTCGCTGGCAGAGCTTATCAATATACCGTTCAAGCTCTTTCTCTTGTTGATCATTCAGAAGTCGCTGATTTTCGTACTGCTTTGCACGGCTAGTTTGAACACCTCGATATCGACGGGAGAGTGTGGATCGCGTAACTCCATGCTCTTTCTCAGTTTCAGTAAAATTAATCGATTCTCCTGGCTCTTGCGATTCCAAATCTGCAAACGCCTTATCCATAGCGCGCATATTGATGGAGTGGTATTATCTTGAAAATTGACGAAATTCGGTTGGTGCGTGCGTCGGGGAGGACCGTGCGTCAGGCAGCCAGGACTAATACCTAGGTATCAGCTCCTTCGTGAATTACCACTCTTTCAATTATTAGGCATTAGCTCCTTCGCAATAGTAGCGTCTACCTTTCCTGTAACGGCTGCAGAATATATGCTGCGGAAATGAGCGAAGATTGCGTCGATTGATCAAAGAGAGCGGGAATAGCTCCCTATAAGCATCTCCTATTAGGTGGGCTAACTACGTATAGTTAGGGTGCTGTGTCAGCCACTATCCTAGGTCAGGCCACTCGTCTCAACCGTAACATTTCCTATGCTAACATCTTGCTCACGCAAGGAGACTGCGAACCTACTGTACTCTAGAGTGATAACTGGGGCATTTCCAACTTATCAGTCAAGCCTTCGCAAGCCAATCACAATCCTGGGCCTGGCCTTGACGCAGGGAGAAGTACGCCGCATATCGCTGGGTTTGGATGATTTCGCCGAGGGTTGAACAATCATACTGCCAATTACCCCCAAGCTCCAGCTCGACTATCTTACTCAAGTTGTTGATGTGAACTCTGTTGTATTGTAGATGCCGTAAAGGCGGACTATATAGAGGAGCGAGATGAACTATCCCTGAGGGCGCTCCCTTGGTGCCAGGCCTCGGCAGCAAGGAAGGCGCCAAGGAAAGCCACTCCCTTCCTTTGACAGCAAGGAAGCACCACAACTTCGTAAGGAAGAGAAAGGGAGAGTAAGGGACACCTAGTGAACCGTATGAGTTAGGCGCCAAGGAAAGCCACTCCCTTCCTTTGACAGCAAGGAAGCACCACAGTGAACCGTATGAGTTGCTGATCCTAGGTTGCTGCAACCCGAGTATCTTACAACTTCATCCCTCCATTGGTTTCGGCGCAAGTCCCTGTCACGTTCGAATCCTTCATCAACCAAAGATAAGCTTCAGCAACCTGCTCGGGTCTTCCAACTGCCCTAGTGGGGAGTGTCTTTCTCAAATTATCGAAGAGACCCTCCCTTGTTGCCTCATCCATGCCGCCCCACAGCTCCGTGGCGACGTATCCAGGACTCACACAATTGACCCGAATCGGCTTCAAGTCGACCGCCAAATTGCGAGTTAAACCTTTCAGCCCGGCGGCAAAAGAAGCCACCATAGCCCATCCAGCCGTTGGTTTCTCAGACGATGTTCCCGATGTGAACGTAATCGATGACTCTGGCCCAGGGTTGAGGTATCGCTGACCGACCTGTGCGACGAAGAATTGTGCGTAAAGTCGCATCTGTCCAGCTTTGGAGTATTGTTGTAGAGTCAAGTCCTGCCAGGGAACGAGCTCGAGTGGATCGCATGCGGTGAATACGATGTGGTCCAATTTTCCAACCTTTTCGAAGAGACCATGCAAATCCGTTTGCAGCGTAGGTTTATTGAGATCCGCCACGAATCCTTCAATCTCGCTCTTTGGATACCATTCTTTAAGTTGTGAGACCTTGGATTGGACCTTTTGGAGTGAGGATGAGGAGATTGATACTCTGGCCCCAGCTGCAAGAGAGGCTGCAGCAACGCCGAAACCTATGCCAGAGGATCCTCCGATGATCAAGACATGCTTGGAGAGCAATTGTTGGAAGTTTGGAGCACCCATGATGAGAGTTGGTCTGCGTTTAGCGCGTTCGGCTTCAGCACTGTAAGTACGGACGCACGCAGGCTAATCTAGCAGCCGTACCCGGACGTAAACAACAGCATTTTAGTCTTCGGAGAGTAATCAAAGTAATCACTATGATCGACGAGATATCGGTTCCCTTCGCTCCGAGATTTTGGTGGTTCCAATTTAATGCAGCTACAGGAATATTCTCCGGAATAGTCACCGGTTACAAAGCGACCTCGGAATAATCTCAAAGAACTACCACTACGGCAATGATATGCCGCACATCATCCCCGCAGCCTTTTCGATGTCTTATCTTGACAAATAAGCTTAGGATCATAATCAACCGAAGCGGCTGCTCCACTTGGTGCTGGCATCAGACGAAAATTCATTGGCTTCATGGGTATCTTGAAGGCATTGCGCGTATGCATCTGTGCCTGAACAAGCTAAATGAACGTATGATTTGTAAACGTCATGTAGAGCCTATGACGTAATATACCGGGGAGATTTTACCTTGACTCATTTCATCACTATTTATGCATCAATTGATGTTCCAAAGGGAAAATGGCAGACTCAGACAGCCAACTACCTGCCTCTGGCCAACATCCCTGCCACCATCAAATCAGCGTTAGAGGAACTCAACACCATGGGACTCGAGAACACTACCACTTTCCATTTTGACCCTGTGGCCAATCCGGGTCTGACTCACGCCGCTACCATTACCAAGGCGAGCTCGCAGGAACTGGAAGGGCTACTGGAGGAGAATTTCAACATCAACCACATATTCACAAGCACCGAAGATGAGAGAGGAGTGAGTTAATTCTTAGACTTCAGAATGCTCACATCTCAACATGTTACAGATGTACTTCCACAACCACATCGCCCATCATCTCGTGACGATATGGGCCCTAGGCGCCAAGCCAGCGACTTTGCGTTCTCAGTACGAACGAAACGCCACATATCAGCGTGCGCCTGTTGAAATGCAACAAACTATGGTCACAGATCTAGTCGACCCAATAGTTTTCAAACGATGCTTGGGCCACGAACTCAATTTTGCGAGCTTTACTCGCTTCTTCATCAATGAGATTGACAAGCTTGGATACCAGAAAGTGTTACACAAATATCTCGTGGACGGGACAGAGATCTCAAATGACGTGCTGTGTCGAATCTACATGGGTGGGTTTCAGTCGAGTCCGAGCAGTCTTCGAGGTCCCGCATCGTGCTGACATGGAAACCAGGGTACGTGCATGGTATCATCCACATCAACCTGGCACTCGAATTCCGTCAAGCCAAGATGTTAGCCGAAGGCTTAGCACAAGCTTGTGTGCATCACGACTGGTGGTACACGGAGTATCTCACTGAAGCCGAGACTCTCGCCGCGAAAAGGGAGCAGCCAAGCCTGCCACTGTCGGATCTCATCGACATGTGTCGTGCGGATGACGCCGTTCGTACTTCATCCAGCCCATCCTACCACAGTCAAACGAGGCCCGTAAGTGGCCAGTTCGCTATGGACATGGAGCCGGCAAGGGACGGAGTACTGAAGAATGCAAAACCGGAATTACTGAAAATAGCCGCGCGGTTTCGAGTCGATCCCAACGACATCGAACGTGCTTGTGCCGAAGTCCAAAATACAGCGGGTGAGCAGCTCCATCATATTCACACTCCTTCAAGTAGACCGTTGCTTACGACGAGTAGTCTATCTCACTGCGGGCGCTCAGCGACCCCCATATATCTGCCTCTTCGACTTCAGCCTGCTCCATACTGTGACCTCTAGCATTGGCCTCTCAGTCTTCCTCTCCGAACCATCTCTTTTAAATGAGCAGAAAGCACGCCTCCTAGAATACACAGGCAGAATCTACCTTCTAACCTACGCCTGTCACGGCAGCCCCGAGATCCGCCTCGACTGGCTCGCATCCCACCCTTCGAAGTTGAAGAATCAGGGCTGGCCAGAGGTCTTTGAGCGAGCCGCCTACCATGAAGATGACGGCCACATGTCGAAGCTCATTCGCGGCATAGCGCACGCGCAGAAAACGTCCAAGCCCTACGACCATTTGCCCGAATTTCGTATCAAGCAGTCGCTTTTTCTGACCGCGGCTATTGCGGCGATTGACTCGGGGAGTGATAGGCCGATGGATGTCGTAACGCATTTCGATTTCATTCGTGGGGCCGGGTTTCCGGAGCCGTGGGAGAGGTTTCCGTATCGTAAGTCTGTTCGTGCGCACCTTTAGATGTGGAGGAGTGTTGGGTGTCGAGCGACTCATTGTTGCGACTGCTGTCGATGCAATTGTCGATCGGATTGGTAGATGGAAGTCCTTTATAGAATTGAGCTATATCTATGTTAGTTTTAGGGTGCGATGAGGCGCCTTGGTTAAGTATGGGACACACTTATAACCGAAATTCCACTCGTCCCAGTATACCTGTCTACTTCGAGTTTGTAGAAGCTTCACATTTGCATAGGCCAATCATTTAAAGCACCACGCCGTTTTACTAGCGAGCACCCTCTATACATACACATACACGTACATGCAACTCCCATTCCTATCAACAATGCCCTGCCCAGCCCTCCCAACTTCAAAAGTCGCACCGAGCCCCCCTCCCCCCACACCTACAAATCCGGCAGAAACCTCGCCTAAAAATCATCGCCCGTCCTAGACATAGTCTCAATAGCCCTCACCGTGTTTGGTGTAACCCTTTCCAACAATTCTCTTGCCCCTTCGCCAGGAACGGGAGAAGTACAAAAAGGAACTGTACGACCAAGGCTTTTATCCACTCGCCAAGGCTAAAGGGACCCTCTTCTATAAGAAATATGAGGCAGCGAATAAAGAAATTGGCAGTGCCTATCAAAAACTACACCGAGCACGATTAGATGATGCGATCCACACATTTCACGACTCCGTCAATACGATCGAGATAGCTAGACAGCTCAGTACAAAGGCCACGAATGATATTCTAGCCTTGCCGACTACCGAATTCGAACTTCGAGAGCGGGCGGCCATAGCTGGTATACTTTTCAAGCCTCTTAAGAATAACTAAGCGCGCGCCAAATTTGTCTGTATATTAGCTTAACTATACTATCTGTAGAAGGCTTACTACCTAAATGCTCTTAAATAAAGGATTAACTATATAAAAAAATTCGTATCGCCTTCGTCGATAAAGTGTAAGAAAAATATAAATAGCTCTCCAGATAAATCGACCAGCCTAGGTAGCAGCTTCGTGAAATAGGAGCTAGATACACCTGGAGACGAAGAAGTAGTCGAGGTTCACTCCTAACGCCTATTTCTAAGAATACTCCTCTACCTAGTATATCTTATTTACGTGGGCAATAAAGGAGTCTTGTACGAACAGCGGATACGCTATATGCCATGAAAGGACGTCCTAAAGAAGCATATCCAAACACACTTTAAAGACCCTGGATATTAGGGTAAGGTTGAATATCGCTACCCTGACTATTATGTTAAACTGAGTAGAATAATAGATTTCATAAGACATACGTTTGACGCACATGGGGTGTATCATTAATACGGTATCTATCATTAAAAGGCGATTCGCGGTGCTGGTGCTGATGCCGTAACGGCAAACGGACGCTCTGCTAAATAGATCTGGACAATAAGATGCATCTGCAGCTGTGAAGGTCTCGCCGTTTGTACGGACTCCAGTCTCCCGGGTGCTTTCGTCGCACTGCAGCGACCAGGTGGGCTGGTGCCCGACGTGTGCGTTTATTAGGAAGGCGTTCCAGTCACCCTCCTTCGTTCATCTGGCGATGACTTCACGACATATCATCCAGCTTGCGGCGCCTAGCATCCGATGCCTTCGCCCTTACATTATCTGAGCTGTTGTCTATCACTGTATAAGGCTGCTCTCACCCTTACTACATGCATCTCAACGTCTAACATCGTGCAGCGCTATGTTCTACTATCCTCGACTGGCTGATATCCGCACAGCGTTCCAGCCTGTCGTAGGCAAGGCTGCGGTCATCTATAACGTTCTTCCAGCCAGAAAACGACCATGCACAACGCATGGCGAGCCTGAGGCCCGGCGACAACGTCCTCGAGCTCCGCTGCGGCAGCGGCAGCCTAATAGACGCTGCGAAGCACGCTGTTGATGACGGTGTCCGTGTTGCAGTCGATGGCGTCCCAGGTCTACTCGATATCGACCTCAGCGCCACGCTCCGCGAGCATAACCTACGGCGGCAGGTCCCCGGATTACTTTGTACAACTTGACGCCAAGATAATCTCTGTAGCACCTCGTACAGAGCCAGTATCGTGATACTACTTCTCGATCTCGAGACTCCAAAGGGACCCCATACCGCCAGATCCAGCCAGTCAATCGCTCAGTAGCAGTAGCTATCGGCTTCGTTAAGTAGTTCAACCGGGGGTCGTTCATCTCGATCCCCTTGAAATTGGGCGCGGTAGCAGGTATTGTAGCAGGTCTCAGAGAGATGACGTCGAGAGTAGTAGGGGCAGTGGAGTCTCGAGAAGTCAGTGTTGACATCTCTGTAGCAGCGACTGTCTCCCTAGGAACTGTTACGCCCATAGTGTTGTCGACAGGAGATGCCATCTCATGATAATCCTGCTCCCTCGAGCTCCCTAAGGCATCGCCCTGCGTCAATTGTATGAGGATCGACGATTGAGTATCCTGGCTGGGTTGAATCTCGAGGTCCTGGGGTAACTGCGAGTCCTCCGCTAACACTTCTTCTAGTGGCCGGAGACGCTTAGGGGCTTGCGACAACGTAGTTTCAGGTGGATTCTGTCATTTCGTTACTCTTCTAGGCGTTACGATACCCTGGGGATCGACTGGGGGTGTTGGTAGAGGTGACGGGTAACTACTCCATTCGGGGTGTTGGGAGAGCCATCGGGCCGATGGGACGTGCGCTCTACTTGATCTTCGAATTTCGGCCATTATCGATAGGAGGAGGATGTAGAAACACCTCTAAACTTATTACGACGTCTAGGTTACGTTGGGATTAGGGTTGTGGAAATGTTGAGGTTAATACTCCGCATTACTGGATGCCACGCGATGTTAATGCTGAGAACAGTATAGCAGGTTAAGAAACCATTAGTACTTCTCCCTGACAGTTTCTCAACAGGGTTTTGTCAATAATCCGCCATGATCGATTTATCCAGTGATTTTTGGACCCCTATCATCGATCATACTCCAATCTAAAAGAGCGAGAGCAAATAAGAGAAGGGGAAACCGGGGCCCTAAATGCTCGCAAGCACACATAAGCAACTTCAGCAGTATCCATCACTAAGGATGTAGAGCTGGGTCGCACGGAATGATTTAACCCATTAAAAAAATGAAAATGACGCCTATTGATGTTCGCGTCAGCAGATAGGGAGCATTATATGGATGCACTTGCATTCTTGCTAACGTTAAGAATTAGCATAACAGGGTAGTAGGCACAGACATATCGTAATCGGGAGAGAGAAGGCAGAAAAAGGGGGTTAAGGATTGAGAGGTAAAGAGCGATACTAAACCGAACGATAAGAAGTTACATATAATTAACAATAATTATGTAATGAACATGGGTAAACCACAGATCCAAGATTTTCTGGAATGCCAAGAACGCTGGCTTAGAGGCCTTCATTTTCGGAGGCAAAGGCCTCTAGATACGGAAGCGTCCAAGCCAACCCAACATCGTTTAAGAAGAAATTTGATCCGCCGTCAGTATTCAGCCTGTTCCAATCTATTCCGGTACGTTGCTCAAGCGCAATATTACGCGGCCGGAGACAGAGATATTGGAATAAGCGATTGAAAATTGAGAGCTGTCGCCCTCGAGCTTCGAGTTTGCCATGTCGTCGAAGAATCTTGAGACACGCGCTTTGAACTGGCGCATAATGGTTTTCATGGTTGATATATTTAGCCTCCATATTAGTATGCTATCAATTAGTTGCATCCGTTCCTATTAGCCAAGGTCAAATAGTGGAGGCAGTACAAATATACCTCGATTAGCGCAAACACTTTAACAGGCGTCACTCCGGCTTAGAAGACGAAGAAAAGTGCTCGTTGTACTGGGCCATCCCGCCATGTCGTGTCTAGCTTTGATTGAAATGCTGAAATGAGCTAAAGCTGGAGTTGCGAGGATTGGGCCGGTCGGCTCGCGAGATCAATTGGAGCGGATACTTGTGGTCAAGAAAGCAGCGAAAGGGCTAACTTAGCCGTATAGCCACCAGCATTGCGATATAACCTGACCGAAATGCTGACATGCGGGATAAGCATTGGCAGTCAATATCGCCAAGTCACGTATTTCATGCCAGACCATGATTAATATTGCAAAGAAGCTTTATGGAGTGAAATTCGATTAACATAAAGGATTTTCAAGTATTCCGCTCGAGCCGAGTCCCTCATCCCCCTCTAATCTACTGATTCGAACCTAGTAAGACATGGAGGGTGAAGCAAAAGTAGTTTGAGTTGTTGAAGCGCTGGACAGAGATATGGAGCTAGAACTGGATGGAGATGCCAAGCTAGAGCTGGAGCTGGATTGAGTCCCCGTAGCTGTGCTTGCGCTTGCGCTTGTCCCCATTGTTGGACAGGTGGTATTGCTGATCTCGCACTGAAAGCTCCCAATTCCCGCCTTCCAAGGGTCGTCAACTGATTTGGAACCGGGAAACCATTGCTCCTCGTTATACGAACACGGATCTCCTTCTAGAGCAGTTTTACATTCAAGGTCCCTATAGTAAAATAAGCTCATGACCCGCGTATCCACAGAAAAGGTCACTCACGCATAAAACCGACAACACAGTCCCAAGTCAATGGCGAAGGAACTGACGCTAATTCGAGTTTAGCAGATGCAAGGCTTTTAAGGTCCGAATCAGATAGTACAGACCTATCCATGTTATCTGCCCTAGAACATAACAGAGCTGACGATACTGGTGCGGTACACCAGCGCCACTGAGTTTCGTCGCAAAAGCGAATCCAGTGGATTCAGTACAATTGGGGTGACGCTATATAGCTGACGTACCTTTGGAGTACATTGGTCACCTGTAACGCGATTCTCTTGAAGTCCAGTTGGGTTCAGTGTAAAGGCAATGGCCGATGCGACAAAACATGTGATAAGGTAGATCAGATGCATGTTGAACCTAGAGTGCTTCGACACAACGGTATAAGACTGGGTTTATATCCTAGCCGCTCTTCCCCCATATTTAGAACCCCCCTCCTAAAATCTGCCGCCATGTCTTTACTACTCGAGCATCAATTTAATCCTCACTCTCTACTCACTCTCTATTCTCCACCCTCAAACATACATCCTCCGCGACACGGCGTACTTAATTATGATGCTCCATTGGCATGAACCATCACCGTTTCTTGTATGCGGCCTGCCAACAAAGCGTTAGAGTCTTACTTTCGACAATGGCAGTTAATTAAGTTACTAAATAGCAATCTTTGAGTTTCATGAACTCAGTGAGACACTTGTCTTTTGTGACGTTGTTGTAGTCCGCAACGATGCATTTGCCATATGCGGCGCCCTTCAATAGAATAGAATACGTCAGAGGGGAACACAAAAAACCAAAAGTTGAACTACTCACCTCCACCGAACACTTCCCTACAGCGGTGGCAAACCTCTCAATCGGACGGGTCTTGGTGGGCATGGTGACCGGATGGGAGTCGATACCCAATCTTCTTTGGCCGGACCAGTGATGGTATGCGATTGGTCTAACCTTTCCAATCTTTTATGATCGGTATCGGTTTGCAGGCTGGACGACGGGCTTCGGAATTCCCCCCTTGTCGCGTCTTGCTGCTGTAGAGCCACTCAAGTGCTCCGAGGGCCACTTATGCTCAAGGAAACGACTTATCGGGTGCATCTTAGTTGGCCTCAGACTATCGGCCGTCCACAGGTCCAGCCGAGAGCATTTTGTTTTTGGGTGAGAGAGGTAGGGGGCAAGTAATTGGTATTGGTTATATAACAGAAAGCTAATTATATATAGATGCTGTAGAAGAAATGCTAAGAAGTAGCAAAGGACCCGCTAGCAGCATAAACACAGAACCATTTGGAAGCATGTTGGATTCCATCTAGAAAGACTGCCCTATTACATGGTCACTTGAAGCGGTAGCTTTCTTCAAGAATGCTCGTTTACCACATATCACTTGCAATCAACTCCAAGAAGTGAATCATACTATTCATACTATCCTATTGTGCGACGAAGTATAGACTAACAGTATATAAAGGCGCCTTTTATAAGAAATTCTCAAAGTCCAAAACCGTTACTCCTGTTTATAGAGATTGCACAACGGTCATTTGATGAGCGCTGGATGATAGCCGACAACGACCGAAAGGAGTGGATAATTGGAGATGAAGAACTAGATAGTTGACAACAAATGAGATATCAAGAGAAATTAGGCTCGCCGTCGTTTGTTACGGCCGTCTTCTGAGTGCGTTCACCCCTCCTTCGTCTTGCCCTATTTGGCTTTGGCTTTGCCGCCTTATCCTGCTGCAGCAGGGTAATCTGCGTTTGCAATTCTTTGGTCCTGCTCTTCTCCGTTGCGAGATCCAGACTCAATTTCCTAACTTCTTGCTGAAGTCCTTGATTCGTCTCAATGAGATAGTTCAATTGGAGATTAAAGTCGCCCGGAATATCCCTCGACCCATTGATGACATTCTCTAGCACCTCGATTCTTTGCCTCGCAATCTCGTACTCAAATCTGAGTGACAACGTATCCTCAACCCCAGTGATTTCTTCATCTTGTAGGGTGAGGATTCACATGAGCTTTTTGTAGCCTCGCGATCAAAATATTAGCAGCCTCCGTGCGTTCAGCAGTAATCTGATAGGCGGCGTCCAAGAGTTTTTTCGTCGCGTTGTGCTCTTGATTGGCGGCGTCCAACAGCGCTTTCGTCGCATCGCGCTCCTGACGTTCTGCGTTGAGGGATTCCTGCAAACTCTTCTTTTCATTATCCAGGCTGGCAAAGAACTGACGAAGGTGTCCTCCACTGGCGAGGAGGCGATTGATCACCTCAAGTAACTGGTAGTAACAAAAGTTGAGATCTTGAAAGCCCTCGTGGCCAGGCAACTTCTCAATCATATTTCAGCACTCCTCCTCTAACTCTAAGAAACGAATGTTGGGAGTTTACCATGGTGGTGGGCGGATACATACGCTCCGCTTGGTGGGTATGAGGAGTAGTCATTGCGCGCAAAGGATGGCAGGGCAAGCACTGGCTGGCAATCCCTTTTAAAGTGGCAATGTTTCAACATTTATGTTCTAAAACCTCACGCGTGACATTAAACATCGTCATGAAAGGATGGATTGACAACGGCATCTGTTGTGCACAGAAAGTAGACGGTGATCGCTGCACTCTCCGGGCGTGCATATTTTATGATGCTCCATCAGCGCGAATGCCAACGTGCAAGAAACACCAAAATAAACAACCAAGACTTGAGTCTTGTCGGGCTATAGAGACATGCGGAATGCCATGCAACCGAGCACTATGCCTCGGCCCGGATCGATGGTTGCTGTGTTCAAAACACGATAAGAGGCCGAGTAACTTTAACTTATCTATCTTCTTTAGTTCGCGCTCCCCTAACAATTTCCGACCAAGGACCCGACTCCGCTGGAAAATTAAAACACTAATTCATAGAGAGCAGGGTCAATGGGGATATCAGATTCCAGTACAGGTTGGGTGTTCAGAGTAGGAGTACATCCAAGACGATAGTGACGTCGCTTGGTCTTCCTGTTCGGCTCTGGATCAAGTTCTCTCTCATTTTTCTTTCTCTTGTTCCCTCTTTCTCCCTGTCCAGGTCTCGGATTTCGAGCATCCGTACACGGTGCGATGTCCAACACCAGGTCGGCTGCGTCCGACCGAATAATCTCGGCGTCTGATCGCAGGTCCGGCTCCCTGTCGCTCTTATGGCTGGTTCTCCTGGGCGTGGGTGTCACGGAGCCGTCGAGATGAACCCCATCATTTTGAAGATCCGAGATTTGGGCTCGATGTTCTCGGAAGGCATGAATAGTTCCGCCGACTAGGATCTCCTTGGCCCCTCCATTATGGTACTGATCGACATGTTCTTGCCATGCCTTCCTTCCGAGGATCTCGGGTTGGTTAGTCAGCCCAATTCGGACGCACTCTGGACACGAGAAAGGATTTGCGAAGAAGTTCTCTCCATTTTCGTGTGCGTTCCAGAAGTGCGACTTAAGGCCCCGAGGGGTACGGATAAGATCCCGACAGAGGAAACACTGGTACATTGTTTGCTGTTGGTCATCGTGAGCCAGATCCAAATGCTGTTTCCAGTCCCAGATGCTCTCAATTGACGGTACAGCACCATCCCGGTCTGCTTGATGTGCGCATTTAGGGTATTCGATCGCGTTTTTAAACCTGCCTTTCGTCTTGGCGTCCTGTTCGGGACGATGACCACGAGTGAAGTGACCGACCAAACTTCGGAAGGTGAAATTCCTGTGCTTGCCTTTAGTTCCAAAATTGGAGAAGGGGCATGGGTATTTGGCTGGTGTGTTCGAGGCCTGTGGAAAACGCGGTGTATAGCGCTTGCCGTGAAACCTTTCGAGATGATTCAACCAAGCAGGATAGCTTTCTTCTACAACAACATAGACCTTGTTCCGTCGGCATTCCGGACATTGAAACGATTTGTCAAAGAACTTTGCTTCCACATGCTTCTTGTAGTGGCCAGTGAGATTTACGCGGCTGTTGTAATCAAGATCGCAAATGGCGCATCTGAAGCTGTTGTCGTCCGCAATCTCCGCCGCCTTGTGACACTTCTTGTTCATGTCGCGGTCATCCTCTTCCTCCTTCTCCTCCTTCTCCTCCTTCTCCTCCTTCTCCTCCTGCTCCTCCTGCTCCTCCTGCTCCTCCTGCTCCTCCTGCTCCTCCT